GGGGACCGTTGCGGAGTAGCTCCGGGTACGTCGCCTCTTTGCCGCGCGTAGCGGTGGCCAACGCAGCCCCGTGTGCATCTGCTGAGCGCCCTTGCGGTTGGCCATCGCGTGACACGGTAGAGACTTAGGTCGCGTCGCGGCACAGTGCCCCTCCCCAACGGGTAACACCGTAGATGACCATGTCGAGTCGGCGGCGGTCATCCGACGCCACGCCCGGAGCAGTCGTGTGCGTGAGCCACTGCTGCGGAACGACCTGCACTAGGGCCCGATGGCTTGCCCGCCGCGCAAATAGGGTCTGAGGCACGGCCGCACCATGTTTCCACCGCACGTGTTGGGGGTAAGTGGAAAGGCGAAACGTAAGCGTCGGCGCAGCGCTGTCTGCATTGTTTTGGGTGCAAGGACGTGGGCTTCATCCGAGGGAGTGGCCGTCAGCCAATGGGACATGACGCTAAACTCCGCTAAACCCCCGTGAGCAGGAGGGCGCGGGCATCGGAGGCTGGCCCAGGAGGCCCAGTACGCTGCAGGGCTGGTGCGCGCCGCGGGCTGGAGGCCCAACCCGACACATCCGGCCCGAGGTGGGCCACTTCGGGTGATGCTGGCACATTGGACCAGCTGGAGTTCCGGGTGGTGCTGGCACAGTGGACCAGCCGAATTTCCGTGTTTTGCCGTGATTGGAAGCGATGCCGCGCCTGCCACGATGTCGCGTGCTACATGCGCGTGGGGCAAGGTTGTCAGGACGTAGACATCATCCAAGACTGAGAAAAAAACTTTTTCGTCCGCCTGGAGGCGAGCTTGGGCTGCGAGTATAGCGCGGCATGTTGACCGATGGCATACAGCGCCGGAGCTAGGGGCCCCCCTGCTCGCAGCCTTCTCCTTGATGCACCTCTCTCCGCTTCCCCGTGTCCTCCCACAGAAAAATATATGGACGTGCGCCCATAGAAAAGGCGGACAAAGGGGAGCTGGCGTGGGGCGACATCTTGCAAAGCCGTCAGGAACGACTCGCGAGACATCGTGTCGTATGCCGCCCGGCCATCGAGGGAGACAACAGCATCAGGAGAGCGCTCAAGGCCACGCGGAGTTGGGTGGCTAGCGCGTCGGTGCCCGATCGAGCTTGAAGGGCATATATTAATGGAAAGGCCAGGTAGCCGCGTCAACTCCGGTGCCCATTGTTTGGCGGGAGCGCGGGCGACTAGCCGGCGGAAGCAATCTCCCGTGGCTATTCCGTGGACTCCGCCGGCCGGCTTGCGCAGGGCGGTGAGGCGCGCGAGCGCTAACGTCACCCCAACAGCCGGCGGGATCTCGGCCCGGGCAAGGAGCGTGGCTGCGAACGCCAGTAGGTCGAGGCCCTCGGCATCTTGCAACAGGACCTTCAGGTGCTCGGGTCGCATATCATTGACGGAGCGCCGTCGCGACAGCTGGCGTCGTCAAGCCGAGCAGGCGGCAAGAGTCGGCGCGGCTCGGGGGGGCGGTCTTCGGGGTCGGTCAAGGCCGTCAAATTTGTGTCCTCGCCAGGGGCGAGTTCCGCAGACGTACATGTGGGTGATGTGAGGAAACAGAGATCAGGGCGTGCCTTCATGGGGATGTTGTGACGAAAGCACGGAACCCCACCGCTTGTAGCTGTCAGGTGCTCAGGGACCGCTTTTGTGTGGTCATTATATGAAAACGACACTGGTTGTGTTTGGGCCTGAGCACACACACCTTCCTCCGGCACAGCGGATCAATCCGCACGCATGCATGCTCACCCCTTCAAACTGCCCATCGCTGACTCGGCCGACCCATGCCGACTTCATCGATGCCCACAATGTCCCCGCCACCTAACCTTTTCGGGGGATTTTGTCGCCTTTGCCAAGTCGCTTTGCAGCGTAGCAGGGCACCCTCAGGACAATGCTGAAGCCGAGACTTCGGTGAAACCCTGCCAAATTAGCGAATATGGCATTGTTCCATGCCACTTCCCAGTCGCCGTCCCGGTCGGCTTCCGACCAGGTGTCGACAGCTGTGTCGCAAGCATCATGGTCCAAACTTTCTTGGCTGGACCGATGTAGAATGTAGCAGCCTGCATGGAAGCGTGACACCGTCGACGTTTCCAGCAACATCCAAAAGTCGTTGGGGGACTCTATCCTGGGTGAGAAAACCTTTGGAACGCCTGGGTTTTTGGTCCAACAAAAAGCGGGCTTGTTGCAGAACGAATAACCGAACATCAACCTCGTTAGCCCGATTGGCAACCAAATTACTGTACATGCATCGCAGCTGGTTTGTGACACGTGTTCCGGACTTTCCTCTAGCAACTCAACACTGTGGAGAGCTGCGCATATGCATCTCCGGCCAAGTAAACCTTTCGAAACTCTTTAAACACCCGGCATGGGAGAGGCATTTGACAGCACCAGACTGGGGTAAAGCACATGACCTTGAAGGTTTGAGGCGTTCCAAGCGTGCAGACCTGGAGGCTAACGCACTATGAAGGTTTCGGCCCGAGGCGGTGGGGAATTTTCAAGAGCGCACAAGCACATCATGTTGCAAGCTTGCAAGCTTTATTGGGCAGGTCGGAATTTAGTTCAACTGGCAAGTTGGACCCAAGAAAAGCGCGCAAGAAAAGGAGCTCCAGCAACCCGTGCGGAACGATTCGTGCATGTTGACAGGGCTGACTGTAAAGGCTCGGAGGCGCAAAAGCGATGACAAACCCGAAGATGGGATCACGAAGGGATATGCGCAGCATTTCCGTGGTTCAATTCATGATTTCGAGGACTAGGTGGCCAGGCGGCAATTGATTTTGGCTACAGTAGTGTTTCCTGCTGGTCTCCGCGGCACCGTCCCTGGATAGGCTGAAGCTCTCAAGCGCCACCGCTTGTGCATCGCTGTGAGGTGCTCAGTTCAGGTTTGCCATGTGAGGTATCGCAAACGTGCAGTTCCAGACCGCAAGATTTCACGGCGTGCTCCTGCACGTTTGAGGTGAGCGGCTGCGGCAAAGAGCTGACAGCCTGCAGGCCAGCGGAACACGCACACCAGCACAGCAGATCACGCCAGCATAGCTTGGTAACCTCGCGCCTGGTGGACCTGCCGGCTTCAGGGATCTTGTCGCTCGGGTTGCCGGCCTTTGTGATGCTAGTCGGCTCCTTTTGTGCAGCCATTGGCCTCAGCTCTCCAACATTTTCGCACCGAAGGGTTTGCTAGGAAGTCGTGGGGACAGAGTGGATGCCAAGGCCGACATGCGGCTGCAGGCTCAACACTGCAGTGTTGCATGGTGTATGCTGCGTGTGGGACGCCCTCTGGAGACAGAGCAGGTGATCTTGCACCGCCAGAAGTTGACCTGACGACATGGGCTTTTGGACAGGTGCACAACCGTATCATGATTCTGTCTCTTGTCGTGAATAAACCCGACGTTGCGCGACATGTAGGTACAAAAGTCCAGCTGCTTGGGACAAAGCTTCCATGCGGTCATACTTTTCGATCTGGAGGCAACACATGCTACACCAACAAGTGATGACCACGCCAGCCCGCTAAGTATCAGTTGCAGTGTAGGAGCTGCACTTCATTCCGTTGCTGAGAAGGAGATTATGCCAGAAACGCTGTGGGCAGCCATCGAAGCTGTGCTGGCGGCCTATTTTACTGCATCTTTCTGCGTCGGTAAAGTCACTACACATCACTGGTCCAGGTGTGGAGGGGGCATTGTTTGCTTTGTGGTTTGCCAAGACTGCAGTGCGAGTTGCTACGCACGGAGTGTCGCACTCTATGGGTTCGAGGGTGCGCTTCCTTCAACCGTTGAGGTCATGCCAGAAGCAAGTTCTGTTTCCAGGCTTGGGAATCGTGACCGTGTGTTTTCCTTTCAACTCGTTTTGTCCTTTGGGTGGACAGGCATGGCTTTTGTCCTCGGTTGATGGCAGCCTTACATGGGGAGGCGTCGACGATGAGACTGACAGCTGACAAATGACAGATGAGTGGGATCTGGAGAGGCAGGCTGTTGGCATGGCGACGCGCACCTGAATGTTCTGCGGTCGGGCCCCCTGCAACCAGCTGGATCAATCAGGTGTTGCAGCTGGCAGACTGAGGCCCGGATCCCTGAAAAGCAACCCCAGCAGCATCGCCGTGGCAGAGGTCGTTTGCCTTCGGCAAGCCTGAAATTATGGGACAGCAAGAAATTTCCAGAGGATCTGGAGCGCTCGGACCTGGTCCCAGGACTTTCGCTAAGCTCAGCAGGCTGTGGCGAGACTTTGACAACTTTGACAGCTTCTTAATTAGGAGCGGATGACATGCTGGAGCTTGGGGCGATGCCCTCGGAAAATCCTCAAAGCGATGTGTGGTCATGTGTGCTCAGTGTGCGCGTCGGCGTGCTGACTTGTTTGTACGTCGAGGCTTTACAGGCTTTGGCTTGCACGGCAGACCAGCGCTATGCCTTGAGAACTGCCCTCAAGGACGGTGCGAAGGGATTTGCCTCCGGCTCCAGATTTTCGAGGTGTAGCCTTGTGACCAGGCATTGATTGATGGGAAGGAACATCCGCAAGTGGTCCAGGACTAAGACTTGTCGAGAGTTGTGAAGCTTGCACCATCGCCTCGTTTTAGGTTGTATCTGGTAGGCGTGGCCGTGGAAAGCTTGCTTCCCAGCAACCACCCTGTTTGCACGGGCATTCCGAGTTGAGCGGTAAAACTATCATGCTATTCCTGCGCGCCTCGGCACAGCTACATTTCGTGGCTCAGCAGGCAGAGGCCAAGGGACATTAAGAGCAAAAGGCTGAGATGGCGGACGCTGCACCAGGTGTGTGCAATGCAGAGGGGGGCTTCAACAACGCCGCTCTGATGATGGGCATCTCGGGGATCTTGGAAGGCCGGGACCTTCGCAGCTTCTGCATCAAGGACATGTGGGGGGCTCTCCAGGAGCGGCTCGGCCTCTCATCCGCAGAGCTGCAAAGCAGGAAGTCAGAGATTCTCGGCTTGGTGCAAGCAGAGGTTCAGCGGATCATGGACCTGGAGAACATGCCATCTAAGCCATCCTCCAAGAATGCAAAGAGCATCGGCAAGAAGCGAAAGAACGTCGAGAACGTGGATTGGCGAAGCTTGCTCGAAAAACGTGAAAGGAGGCTGGGAAAAGCTGCTGAAAAGATGGGCCAGGCGTCTGCTGAGTCGGACTCTCGACCTGATATCGAGCAGATGCCTGAGAGCCTGGAAGAATCTTACAACATGAGCACCCCCTTGAACGTTACAATTGGAGACAATGCCATGCAGCTGTCGCCGAAAACCTTTCCCAGCGGCACTCATGGATTCCATGCTCTGCAGAAGCTGACAGTGACTCTCGATGGCAAGCCATGCAGCCTCATCTGCCAAGTCAGCTGTGCAATTGTCCCGGATAAATCAGCCTGAGCTCAGCGGCTACATGATGTGAGGCGCTTTCGGCGAAGGGCAATGCGAAGATGCAGATCTGTGAAGAACACACTTCTACTGGGGCTTCAGACCAGAGGTTTGAAGGGGGCCTTGGGGTATTTTGGGGCAGAAGGCTGGTCGGATGAAAAAGGCACCCGTGACCGGTGCTTCATTGTGTTCCTTGCATGGGTCGCAACGCTGACGAGTTCGAGGTCAACCATCGTGGGTTTGATCATTGCGGGGGTGATTGCCAGGCGCGTGACGGTGAAAGGGTGTAAAAAGAAACGATTGTTCTTTTAGACCAGTCAGGAGCAGTTTCACTTCTGTCATCGTTGCGGCCCCATGTCCCGACAATGCCCGGCGCTGAGGCATGAGTTCCCAATCTTACACGCAAGAGAAACAGCTACCAGACACTGTGAGGTGTCAGAACTGCTGCTGTCATGCCGTGTGTGTCTTAGCCGTCTTAGCCAGTCGCCTGAAAGCCGTCGCCTGCATGCTGACGAGTTGCTCAGGCCGTGGGCTGGAAGCGCTGGGCATAGGCCGGGACTCCTTGCGTCAGGATCATCGGAGCATGGAAGATGCAAGGCTGCATCGCATTGGGCGCTCATGGTTTCTGTGCGATGGGAGCTTAGTCTCGTCGCTGTCGCTTTTTTCCAGTCCCCGCCATGCCGTCGAATGGCCCATGTCGGCAGGCACGGCCGCGTAGATTCCGGTTCGGGCCCGAGCATGTGGCGTTTCGTAGAAGCTCATATCAGTACGATAGCGAGGCTGTCAATGGGTTCTCAGCTCGTTGCCGTCAGGTTGTGAAGCCGTTCAAGTGGTGGTGGTCAGGGCTGAGAACGCTCACCCACTGTTCGCACCTAAGTTGTGGGGGCTGCAAGCTCTCGTGCCCATGGCAAGCCTTTGAGTGCTCCCATGAACACGTCGATGCCAACTTCTGCTTGATTTGTGTAGCCGACTGGCTCGTGCAGCTTTTCTGCAACTCTTGGCCCTTAAACGACAGGGCCATGCTCGCAAGGCAAGCATGTCGAAAAAACATTGCTGCCTTTCAACTACGACTTAATTCAACCTGCAGGCAGCATCGAGGCCTCGCTGCGCTCAACGTGGAGCCGCCAAACATCCGGCTCTTGAGGTTCTTGTGCATCTTTTATAACTCTAGTTGTAGTGCTGTAGGCGTGAGCTTTGTTCGGAAGGCACCTTGTGGTAGTCATTGCCTCCCCAGGAAACTGTCTGCGATTCACTCCGTGGAGGGCACCTTGCCGCAGATGCCTGCGAACCGCCCTGTCGCAACCAGGGCGGCGATGCACTGCGAACTTTCTCGAGAAGGCAAAGCCGACAAGGGCCCGACAAGGGATCAGCATGCCAGGCAGTCCGCAGGCATTAACGGCACTGAAGGCCGTGTGTCTGATGAAGCCATGGCAACCACAGAGCTTGCTGCCCTGCCAATTCGAAGTGCAGGAGCAAGTTGACTTCGCACACACTTGAGTCTTCGTGTTGTTTCGTTCAAGAAGTTATACTTAGATGCTTGTGTGTGTGTGTGCGTGGCCGGCCAGTCTGGAAAATCCCAGTTGGCAGAAATGCATGAATTCTCAACTTGCTCTCAGCCCCTGCCGTTTATGCTTTGGCAAGGAACTCATTTCGCCTTCTGCTCGAAACATCCGCTTGGGCTGAGAGCACCAGTTCTCACAGTTTTAGATGCACTTCTCGGCAAGAGTTGGCATGGCAGCACTAGGTTTGTCCAGGCCAGTGTTTTGAGACAGCTTGTCGGTACTTATTCCACGCCTTACCGACTGACCTCTTTTGAGAGCGAGGATGGAAGTGTCACTGGACAATGCCCTGTGACATGAGTATCTCCAACGGCAAGCAACCGAACTTTGTGTACCTTTCCCAACGGTGCCGGTGTCGTGCGGAACGATGGCCGCGAGGCTGCGGGGTTTGTGATTTGAACTCGCAGAGTCCTGCGTGGAATGCAATCTCGGACTATTAGTCAGCTTCGATCGGGGGCATGAGTGTGAGCAGTTTGTCCACTGGCGGGATTGGGTTCTGCTGCAGCTTCCAAAGGGAGCTTGGAGGTATATCGAGACTGAAGGTCCCACTTGTTGGCTGTGCTGACAGGCCCCCGCATGCGACGGAGATCTTCTGCAGCGTTGGAAGTCGGAGGCAAGATCATTCATGCAGAATGTGGCCAAAGCCTTGAAGATGTATTTTTTGCAAGCCAGCAAGATGACAACTGAATTTCCGAGCTCAGGGCGACTTCGCACACTGCCGAGACTGCCGGATGAGGAAGGCTTGTGTCTTTTACTATGTACTATTCTCGGCGGAACAAAGCCGTGCTTTCGTTCTTGGCTGACTGTTTTTTTTGATGTGCTGACAGAGCCGCATTTGATGGTTGGATCAAATCGTTGGTGCAATGATTGAAGACAGCATTCACAGCCAAGCTGTGCCAGCACATCCTGCTTGATTTTGAGTCATGATAGATGCCGCAGATCCAGCTCCCGCATAAGCGTACTTGTACTTCACTCTCGTTTTCGCGAAGGCTTGCAACTTCGGAGCCAAGTAGCTGGGTTGTGGCTGAATTTCTAGACTGAGAGGCTCAACCCTTCTCAGTGAGCACAAGGCCCTCATGCCTAAGGGCGGCCGTTTCTAGTTTGCTCGTCGAGGCCTGAAGCGCCCGTCGGACGAGCAGTCCAAACCCCACATCGATCGCGCCGATGTCTGGAAATGCGTCTCGATTCTAGAGAGTGTCTCGATTCTGCCACTGTTCTTCTCAGTCGTTATTCGATGCCAGTGCCTGGAGGCTTTCTGCCTTTTCTGCTATGGGCCATCGTGTGCTGCTCGTAATGGACGAGGCCCGATCTGCATTCTGTTTGTAGCCGGAGTCACCTCGAATGGCCTTGTGCAAGCTGAAAACTAAGTCTCGGTGTATCCTTAAGTCTCGCTTATGTCTACCTGTCACTCAAGATTAACTAAAGATGACCCCGCCAGGTGGCAAGTGTGCCAATTACAATGTGGAAATCTCTCGCGTCAGGCTCTCGAAGCAGCACAGCTTTGCCTGTCAATCCCGATAGCCTCATGCACTTCAGGTCGTCTTACCCGGTGCAGTTTTAAGTGTGGGAGAGTGAATTGAGAGCAGCAGGAACTTTGAATAGGCCGTCCAGGATGCAAGAAGTAGATCCGGCCTGCGCGTCCTCGCAAAGCAGCAGAAGCTTGCGGTAGAGTACCTCGTTCTTTGACTGGGAATGCAGAGGAAGAAGTGGGGTCGCCGTTCTCTTCGAGCTGGGTTCCCTGATTGGGAACTCCCCTTGCTTGGCATCAGGTTCGAGTAAAAGCGGTCCATCGGTGAAGCGTTTTGCCCGCCCGCATTTTGAAGGAATGAGCCTGTGCTGTCGAGAAAGCAGCCATGCATCAAGCAACACTTTGCGGAAGCTTGCTGTGCCGTCCTGCGACCCGTGTGGAAGACTCATAGTAACCGGAAGGGGGGCAGTTTTTCAGAATGATGGAGGCAGCCCAAAGACAGGACTTCACATCAGGGTTCAGAACAGGAACCTGAGCGGCCTAGGGCTCTTCCATGTTGTCGGGTATGTGTCAACGAGCTGGGAGAGAAGGGCGTCAGTCCGTGCTGCTTCGGACTCAGGTCTGCATCAGTAGAGGCCATGATCCTGGCCCCCAGCCTCAGAGTTCGCATGCAGAAAGCATCAGAAAGCATCGCCGCGGACACGGCCACGAAGGCCGGCACAACATCGAGCTGTGAGGGTACCGGTTGTGCTATCGAGTGGCCGCGGCCTCTGACCTATCCATACTCGATCTTTTGTTCCTGCTTCCTATGTCGACCCCGCATATCAGTGATGCCGAGGAAAGTCTTGCTGGATGGCAGCACTTCCAAAGGCATGCGTTCTGCAATGGGCCATGGTTGACGCCCATATTTCGTGTCACCTGCACAGGGCTGAAGCAGGTACGGCTGGTATTGGAGGACACGTGGACAGATGATTACGAGAAGAGGGTGGGGAACGTGCCATCCATCAGGAGCCTGTGCGCTACGGACGTGGATGCCCGGTCGAAGCTCTCCTGGCCGGAGCCTGAAGGCGACAATGCCCGATGCCATTGCTCATCACGTTCGTTGTCAGCTGCTCAAGGATTCTCTGCTCTTCTTGGGTGCCGGTGCTGTAAAGCGCTTAGCTTCTGCACCCGGTCTGGTTTGATTCACGCCTCTCTCTTCAACTGCTCGTGCCAAGGACATCCCGCTGCATGACATCGAGACATGCTGTGGTTGGCAGCACAGTTTTCGAAGTCGCCAGAGCACCTGTGAAGTTTCGAGTATGCCGATACTTAACGGACGAAAACATAGCCTTCTGGGCGTTTTCATCGTTTCGTTGATCCAGATCCACGTGACGCGCGGCTCTGGGCGCTGGACTGTCCTGTCGCCACCCCAGTCGGATAGCCAACTGCGCTGGACTTTTCGAGCGGCGTGAGTCGGCTGCTGAGGCCATGGTTGCGGGCCATGGTGTTGGTTCCTGAGAATGGTAGCCCTGGAGAGTCGGAACAAACGGCAGCCTCACTTGAGCTCTCCGTGCGTCGCAAGGAGTTCGCCACAGCCGTATCAGCACTTCTACAGACGCCCCACACCAAGTCCTCCTGCTTGTCTCTTCACAGAGAATCGACCACTGCGCGTGCCAAGGCACTACCGCACATCTGCGAGCGATGTCACGAACATGCTGGTGCAAGAGTGAGCCGAGTTGAAGCATCGTGCTTTGAACAAGACAGGGTCTCATTGCAGCTCCTGGGATAGAACACATGGGCTTCATGATCGCGCGAGGTACATGCGGGCCATGGTTCTGGTTCCGAGTGAGGCACCAGGACATGATGATGCGACAGTGAGTGGGCCAAGAGCACCGTGGACCACGCCGCAAGATGGTTCAGGACCAGGACAGCAACGAAGGCCGTTAGTTGCCGATGCCTTACGCCGTCAGTTGTAGAAGTTTTGCAACTCCTGCTGTTGCAAAAATGAGGACTGGGTAGACTGGGTATCGACAACGATCAAGCGAAACCGCAACACCGATCACCGACATTCATTGTCAAGTGCAATTACAGGAAGCGCAGAACAAGCAAGGCAGGAAGGAAGGAATGAAGGAAGGATCATGGAATCAAGGCACCAAGGAAGGAGGGAGGAAGGACCGTAACGAAGGCGGTTTGCAGAAGTCGTGCGTTCGAGAAAGTGATGGCAATGAAGGGAAGCAAGACGCCGCAAGCAGACTGTGAAGGCAGGCAGGAAAGCTGAACCAGAACCGTTGAGCATGAAGCCTTTCATCACGGTCAGCCACCATACGAAACCCTGAAGGTCTAGACCCAAAGGGTTTCCCAAATCGCTAAGTCATCAAGACGTGTTAACGCTGAGCTCCGTCCTGTTGATACTTAGCGAGGTAGTTTCGAAAGCTTTCACATTTTCGTGGAGACTCAGCTGCGACTCAGGTCTTGGTTTGCATTCTCGAAGCTCCAGAGCCTCAGCCTCAACTGACCTCACTCCGACCTAGTCAGCGAAGCGGGTGGCAACAACTGACGTCACTAGTTGCCGGTCCTGGCCGGAGCTCATAAGAATCTCTGCTCGAAACAGTGTGACAAGCCTGAGGCTGCTGCCAGATGACCGTGGGCCAAGATCCTAACATGTCTTAGCGTTAACCACTGCGTTAACCGGCGTTAGTGTTGTCGCCTTTGGCGCTTCTCAGGTCTAGCCGCGTGTCACGCTCGCACCTGACAACCTTCGCTTTGGAGCAGGACTGGCCCCTGCTCTGAATGTTAGTGGCTCGCACTGCCATTCAACAAGCTTGTCAGCAGGACTTCCCAGAGTTTAGCCTCGGAAGGGTGCGAGGCGATCGGCTGTGTATGACAAGCTTCCAACGATGCAACTCCGCATCAAGGGAACTCTAAGACGATCCTAGAAGGGTGTGTTGAGTCGCTTGAGCCGACGGCTTTTAATTGCAAGCGGCAAGCGCCACCTCACGTGCGAGTCTGCTTTCGACCGGTGTTTGCGCTCCTGCAAACAACATACTCCCGTCACAGTGCGGTGGGTGTTCGTGACACATCGTGCTCCCGCCGCAGTGTCGTGCGCATTTTGTGTCGTTGAGACTTAGAGACCTGACGGCCGGCACTCGCCCCACTGGGTGGTGACATCTCCGAAATGCGCACCCCCACATTTCGGGGCGGTGTGGTTGTAGGTATGGGACAAGTGATCTATGCCGCTCCCTACGATTCTCAGCGCAGAAGGCTTGCGTGTCGCACGCATTGTGTGCGATCCACGTCTACGTGGCCGGGGCTTCGGAAGTGCAAAGCTCAGTGCATGGACGGCATGAAGGATAGCTATCATCGTGGGTCGTGGAAATGATAGTGATAGGGTCGGTCCGGGCAAGAATGCACTCCAAGCTCTCTCGAGACGAAATGACTAGGGTGCACAGACGTCGTGCAAAAGCACACAATATAAGGAAGCCTCTCAAGATCTGTAAGTGGCTTCCCAGGTGAGGCTTTGCAGCAGCTTCTCATCCATCTCAATAGTCCGAGTGTTCCCGAGGCAGGCTTGTGCGGCCTTAAAGCTTGAGTGCATTGGATGCCGTGGCCAGGCATCCTGTGTAGAGGACGAAGCCAGCTCATTCTTGAGCACACGATCTCAGACTCCTCGGCTGTCACATGCCCCACTGTCAGAATTGACCGCCAGCGTAAGGACCTCTAAACTTGCCTTGCTGTGCCTGGCTGGGTGCATCTTTTGGCCGATGCCTTTGCTTTGGGAGCTCTTGGGTTCTGAGCAGATCGGACTAGTCAGGTCTAACGGCGCCTCTCCTTCGGTTTTGGTCTCGTGCGCCCCAGCTGCGTGCCGCCTGCTGCAATGGTCCATCTGGCTCATGCCTGTTGCAGGCTTGGGCTTTCAACCAATTGCACTGTCGCCAGCGTGAGGCCTACAAGATGCCAGGTGAATCTTGCTCCGCAATCGAACGGTCAATTCCATTTTCGACTCAGATGTCCTGGAGCCTTGATGAGGCTTTGAATCCACAGACAGGCGAAGTTTCGGCTGACGCCTTTGTTTCTCAGCATAGACCTCATGGATGCAGTGTTTGTGCCGGACTTGTTTTGCTGCTTTGAATCGGCTCACGATGTATGCCACGCAGTGCAAGCGAACCACTTTCTTGCCCAGGTCGTGATGTGCCAGCCTTACACTTTGGAGGTGAGTCTGTGTCGACAGGAACGGGCTGTTTCCAACCTGGAATGTTCAGTTTACATGCAGGCTTTGATTCGATCCATGTACACGTGGTTCGCCTCGTGCAAGGTTGCGGCCGCTTCATGGAGCCGGTGCTTCCCTGGAGGTTCGAACGATAAGATATCAGGACTTGAAATATGTTTTGGCAGGGTCAGGTCAAGGCCCAGTCAAGGCTTCAAAGATGCGGGGCAGAACTCGACAAGCGTATCAAAACAAGACAGTTAGCCATGCGCGATTCGTTCCGCGCAGCAAGTTTGCCGCGCCACATCTTGGCCCAAATGCCCTGAGTGCTGGGAGCAAGGAGGGTGTTGGAGGGTGAGAGGCGCTCTATCGGTGCAGCCCACTTCTGCGAGGAGGTTCTGTGGGTGCATCGCAGTGGCTGGTTTGGTGTGATATCTGCAGACTATATCGACAGGTGCGGAGGCCTGAGCTGAAGTTCTCCCAATGGCCATATAGATGGCCATAGAGAAGGCCAGAAGATGACAGCAGCTTTCCCGGACATGAATCCTGAGTGACACCCCTGCCTGAAGGACTATGATGTCTTGGAGCGCCTGGGCGAGGGGGCATTCGGAAAAGTCTACAAGGCAAGGCACAAGAAGACGGAGGACATATAGCGGCTCAGTATGTCAATCTCGTTTCAGTGAGCGCAAGCTCTGAGAAGCAGGAGTTGGTCGCTGTAAAGCAGATCAAGCTGGGTGCCAAATCCTGGGATGAAGCATGCAAGTCGACAGAGCTGGCGGCTCTGCGACAGTCAGCATCTCAGTTTTACCAGGAGTCTATTCGTCCAACTTGGGCCGTATTTGTCAAGGTTACGCCATCCTTTCATTGTCCGACTCAAAGAGCTTTTGCGCAACCAGCTGGACGGAAGTTTGCGGCTGGGTCGCAGACATTCTGCGGGTTTCCAACCGTGCCAAGAGCGAGGCGTGGAGCAAGAGGTCAAAGTGGTGCCTGTCACGTGCAAAGGTACTACATCTTTGAGTACATCGACAGCGATCTTTGCCGGCTCGTCAGGCAAGCGATGTGGCAGTGAAGAGCTTGTAGTTGCCTTTATACGGTATACACAGAAGGGAGGGCTTGTCGTGTTGCCTGTAACGGCGAAGGCAGAACCCGTCCGGCCTGGACGAAACCTTTGCCGCCGGTTTGGCTCGGCAGCTTTTCGCAGGCGCATTGCATTGTGCATTGCTCTTCTTAGCTCGGCCCTTGCCGACCACTGCCTTTTTGGTGAAGCGGTCCCCATGTCGAGTTCCATGTCGAGCGGAGTCTGTGTCAGAAATTCTTGTGTTGGAATCGTCAAGACCGACACGGCGCAGCTGTTCGTGTAATGCTTGCCAAAGTTGGAGTATAATTCATCTTGGCATTGCTGTGCAAAGAAGTCCAAGACGAAGATGGGATGAGATGGGTATTGAGCTTCTGCACTTGTTCAGCGAGGAATTTGTCAACGTCATGGTATGTCATGGTTGCAGCTGTGATGCCTCTTTTGCCCAGGCCTCGCGCATATTCACCAACACAATTTCTTTCATCGCTCCTTGGTGCAGCAGAATATAGATATAAACCTGTATTTCATGATGGTGATGCCAAATGCACTGCAGCACGACTAAGGTGACATCAAGCCCGAGAATGTTCTCTATGAGACGAAGAGGGAAGTTGTGCGAATAGCCGACTTCGGCGAATCCCGGTCTCTTCGAGCAAGGCAGGGCCGTCGGAAGAAGTGGCTAGCTCGCGCTTCTGGCTTTCGGCAGTGGCCTCGGCATCTGGCAGGCCACCCTTTACGGACTACGTGGGCACGCGCTGGTACCGAGCTCCGGAGTGCTTGCTGAGAGATCGGGGCTATTCCTCACCAGTCGCCTCATGTCTGCACGAAGACAGCATTACACTGCTGCCAGCCACGATCACGGCTCTGGAAGGTTCGAACGAGCAGCAACCTGAAATGGTAAGAACATGCAGCAGCTGCTTTGCTGAGGATGTTTGGTCTTCGGGTTTGGTTTTCGCTGAGCTTCTGCGCGGGTCTCCCGTCTTCATGGGATCCTCGAGCATGGACCAGCTCTACAAGATCTTCTCAGTGATTCGGCTGCACTGGAAGCTTGAGTCGATTTGAGTCAAAACACTGTGCGGCTCGTCGTTGAGGTCCTCGGGCAGCCAATATCTGACTGGCCTGACAGGGGCTTAGTACAAAGTGACCCCGACTGGTATCACCGTAGAAGAGCCGTCCCGTGCCATGTGGCCGAGGAATTCACTCGACTGGCAGAGGCCTGCCGGTTTCGAGTGCCATCATCATCAGGTGCTGGGCTGCAGTCTGGCTCTCAGCAATCGGAACATGTGACATGCCATGCATGAGGCGGCAGGAGGGCTTTTGGCAACCTGCATAAGAACGAGGAGCCATCACGAAGTTGAAAGCACACGAATCCCAGCATAGTCATGGCAAGTCCATGCGAGTGAACGAATTGTGTCAGGAAAGCATTTATGTCTGCGGGGGGACGGAAGCTGTTTGAGTCATACGAAATGCTGAGCAGCTGCTGGACGCACTGCGGATAACGGGCTCTTCGAGCGCTCTGTCGGGAAACGCTTGGCTGTGTTTGGCTCGGAATGGCCTGTTTGGATCGACTTGGCGTGGCTTTACGTTTTGGCCGGGTTTGGTTTTGCTTGGGTTGTCTCGGCTTGTATGCGTCCTGGCATCCTGGCTCTTTGTATCTTCTCCCTGCTGACTGACTAGCGACGCGAGTGGCGTGTGCTCTGTCTTTACAAGGGTCTGGAGTCGTGCTGGGTGTTCCTCACGCCATGTTACTGTCAAAGCTTCTCAAGAAGCGAAGCCTACAACATCATGCACGCCCAGCAAGGTCCGTGATCCCTCGAGCTTCCAGCCGCCCGCAACTCAAGAGCATCGACATTCTCGAAAGCCTGAAGCCTCGGACGCAGAGATTGCAGGTGCCATTGCTGTTCTTACAGAGATTCTCCTACTAAACCCACGGCGCCGACCCATGGCTAGGAAGGCCGGCTCCAGATCTCCTCTTGCACTGCGCTTCGACAAAAGCACCGGGCAGGTTCTGGAGCACGGATTCTTTTCCATACTTCCTCCAATGGACCTTGACCGACTGGATACCAGTCGCTCCACGGCAGCCTGGCAGCATTGTTGGATCTCATGGTTCTTCGCAGGGGCTATCTGTTTGGATCACAAGGCCAGGCTTAGGGCGTGATTGACAAATCATGCCCAGCGATCTGGCAACTCAGGGTGGCAATTCTGCTGCCGCCCTTTCAGCAGCATTCTTGTCAGAGCGCTGCGATTCTCGCCACTCCTTCCAGATGAACGAGGCTGGTTGTGAAGCATGCTGCTGACGGAGCTTAACAAGTTAAGAGATTATGAGAGCCGCAGAGGCACCACCGACCGGATCTGGAACGGCACAGGCCTTGAAGGGGGGGGTTTCAACTCACCATAATCTCCTACAGTAAGGGCTCGGGGCTTCTGATTCGCAGGGCGATCTTTCCGACCTCGAGGCTTCTCGCCCAGAAACTCCAGTTTTGCCTCCGCCTGCGCCGGCTCCGCCACCCAGCCGCCCGAAGAGCGAGGCGAGTGGTCTCTCGCACGGTGCTGCGGTGGCGATCGCGCGATGCAGGTCTGTGTGGACGATGTGGATCTGGATGCAGAGCTGGATAAGTCAAGATCTCAGATCCCCAAAGTTGGCAACATCCGCGTGTGCAAGCACGCAGTCGCACAGTCGCGCAGCAATTTCAGGATCCTTGGAGACGCACCGCACAGGCATGAGGCAGCCTGGGCTTGCAGGAGCAACGGGAATCATGCAAACACAACTTGTTGGAACAGGACCAGGAGGTGATCGACCCCCAAGACTTTGCGCTGCGTGCAGCCGGCAGCAATGCCTCGTACTTAGGGATGGGTGCTTTTTTGCGCGCAGTCTCACTTATAGCCTGTGTTGAGGACAGCTTCGTCCTGGAACCAGAGGCGACCCCGGTGCCTCTCAGCCATGGCCCCGATTTCAGCGTGACAGGGCGGCTCTCGGACGGACCACATAACCGGCAATGTTACTTTCTGCGTACGCCGAGGCACCGAACGCGAGCGGGCAGGTGGCTTTCACTTAATAGCTGTTTTTCTCCTGCTCGTTTCTGTTGGAAGGATGCCAGATGCTTGTATATCCCGTTTTGACTAGGCTTCCCAGACATTCCGCCACTTCACATGGGCAGTGCTTCCATGGCCAACTCACGCGCAGCCTCACCGGATTCGCGAGGCCCGCAGAGCGAGTGCCGGAGAGAGTGGCAGTCGTCAGGCTCATGTTCCGGTGTTTTATGTTCATCAGGTGACATCATGGATGCCCTCCTCAATGACCTGAATGACCTGGGCGTTGGTGCCGGTCTGAGTTCGAGAGCACCTTGTGGGCGCAAGTTTCAACCAGTTTTCAACCAGTCCGCGGCTCCAGGGGAGGACGTGGCACCCAGTTCGGCACGGCTTTCGCAAAGCCTGGCGCCACCTCCTCCCTACGGCCTTGGCCTGGCCTGGGCCGCGGTTAGAGGAGGGCTCTCCCAGGTGAGTCGGCGGTTTCTTTCCAAGGATGTGGAAACCTCGGCCTCGACGTGGAGCCCTGAAGAGTGCATGGAGCTCCGTCGGCTGGTCACTTTGCACTACTTTCGGCAGATCTTCACCAAAAAAAAGCATGGCTACTGACACTTTTGCTTCAAGCTGGCGGCTCAAGGTAAAGCGCGTCGTCCGATCCGGCACCTCCGACAAAGAGCAAATCTGGCTTCAGGTGCGATGGCATCGTGCGGCATTGCATGATGTCATGTGGCTCACAGACTAGCGAATGAGGTGAGCAGGGAGATGGGCGGACGCTACAGTGCTCGTGAGTGTAAGCTCCAGTACGCACGAGATTACAAGGCAGCGCCTCTCTTTGCAGGTAGCGTTTGCTGAGTCGGGCCGTGGTGGGTTGGTGAAGAGTTGGCATAAGGAAGGAGCAAGGCGCATCTTGCTCTGCGTGCAGCCAAGGACAAGATGAGGAAGCAAGCTTCTGGGCAGAACAGGGTGCTTGTTTCTTTTTGTCGTGTGTCATTTCTGCTTGCTGCCATGGGCCCAGGCACTGGCAGTCGGATAGGCTGCAAAGTCTGCGACCTTTTTCAGCGACCTACTGGCAAATCCAGTACGGCTAGCTCAATGGCTCCACAAGCAAAGCTCCAATGCGAGCGATACCGGCCCCGGGCAACCTGAATCGGCCAAGACCCTGTGCCAAGTCCGTCAGCGAGGGCGGTAAAAGACAGAAGGGCTGTTGTCCAAGCTTGCGCCTGTGCCTGTCCAGGACTTGGCCAGAGTTTTCGATATGATCTTGGATAGGTTTGTGTGACTGTTGATGTAGGTCTTCCACTGTCCTAGCATGAGCGAAGGAGCTTATGCTGAAAGAACAACGCAAGTTGCAGGCAGTTCTGAAGCGGTAACGGGGCTCCTTCGCTCTTACCCTGAACTTGCCCAGCTGAGATGGCTGAAAACTAGATGCTGGTCAGCAGGGCTTCAGGACTGGCGAACGCATCCGTGAGATAGTCAGGCCAGCCGGCCCAGTTTGGCGTCGATGCTAAACGGCAATCCTCAGCCCGGTGTCGAGCGTATCACCGTGTCGAGCCTTCCTTGACATGAGCCGACAGGTTCAGGAAAGGGAACGCTTCACTGCAACGCTTTGGGCCGCAGCTCCCTGGTGCCACGGAATCTTCAGAGCGAGGCATTGTTCAAGCTGACGCTGTGTGCAGGAAGCTGTGCACGAGGGCTTCTCGACGGTTCGGCTTTCAAAGCACCCGTCGGGGACGCCCAAGAGTCTTAACTCAAACAAGTCTCGCGTTGCCCCACATCGTAGATTCAAGCAGAATTCGCACGCACATATGCTCAAAAGGCAGTATAGCCCTTCGATGCTGGTTTGTCGCTTCGTTTGCTGACCAGTATGCACTCGCTGCCGAGAGCTGTTCTGGATTTGCTTGCTTAGCAAAGAGTGACAGGCAAGGCTGGCGTCGATCCCGAGAATCCCTCAGTCGGTCGGACACTGAGAAGGAGACTTGAAGACTGTGATGTGCCTTGGCGAGGCTGGAGTTCAAGAGGCGCCTCGTCCAACGGTTGCCCGCCGCCTTTTGCTCGGTGTGCAAATGCATGCAAACGCACAACAGGCTGCCCCCCACGCATTGTCGCATGCTGAGGTAGACCGTTCAGTTCCGGCGCCTCTCTCATCCGAGACGCATCGAGACAATTCTGACGGTGTCAGCGGGAGCACCGGTGAAGGTCTCCCTTCTGGCCGCTGTGCTGTCGCTAAACAAGCCGAACACAGCACAGACCCTGAGGCGCGTCTGGACAGGCTGACACGAAGGATTCTCGCTGGGTTGGTGTGCCTTCCTTGTGATTCAGGTTGGCTGCGTGCGACCTGTCTCAGCTACAGCGCATGAAGCTCAGATTTGGCGACGAGTGTATTTTCGGTGCAGCAGGGTCCGCTGCTTGCAGCATCTGATTCATCTTGCAGTCGCGGGATGCGCTTTGCTGTGGAGGTCTCTTGCAGTCCCGTGATCCGCTTCCGTGTCCCTGGCTTGGTGCCAGCACGCGTGAGACCAGTCACAGAGGAGTATGAAGGAGGCCATGTCGGAGTCGAATTAGAGGCTTGGCCCATTCTGGTGAGCTACTTCGACATCTCTGCGAGGCTGTCGGCTTGGAAAGCACAAGCGATGATTTGCTACATGTCGAGTCCGATATTTTGGTTGCAGGCATACTTCCTGGGTTATCTGACGCCTCTGCAGCTTCAGAGGGAGGACGAGGCGCATGTGCACGCTAGGCATGCCAGCATCGCCCACTTCCCTGAGCAAGCTGCAGGGGTTACTGGTGGCCTTTGGTCGCCTTTCCCGTGATCCTGCTTCCGAAGTTGATCTCACGGTCTGTTGCTAAGCCTTGAAGCCATCGTCCGAGTCCTTGCCTTCGCCGGGTGTAGTGTTGCTCGGACCTATGCCCTCGTCGTCTCGTTGCTCTGAACCGCTGCATGCAAAGGCGCCCCTGTGTTTGCTGAGGCCAACCTGGCGGCACTTGCAGCCAAGCGAATTGCCGGTGAGGCTTGGATGGTTGTGACAGTGTTGAACTACTCGAAACTACCGCAATGACACTTCAGATCACCAGGTGGCCAAGACACTGGGAGAAGGCGGCTGGCCTCAGGACAGGTGCTGTGATTGCGTACAATCATTTGAGCCCAGCCGGGTCTGACCGAGGTCTCGGCAAGGAGGTCAAGGTTTGTCTCCGCAAGACCGATCATGATGGGCAGGTTTCACTGCAGGCTTTCCACTGCGTGATGAAGCTCACATCGATCCTCAAGCCGAGGAATGGTGTGCCTGGCTGCCTGCAATTCAACACACGCGCAGCGGTCCCACGGCCGGCGGCCAAGGGAGACAAAGTCGCAAATCGAAGCCTTGCTGGCTGCTATGCTTTGTACAGCTCTTTCGCTTCGTAGCCGTCAGCACACAAGCGGCAAGCGTCTAAGGTCTTCAAGTCTGCCGGCTCCGTGCGTTTCCCAGCTGCCGCTTGCACATCTCCTGGAACTGCACCTGCTGGAGTTCCAAAGCTCTTCAGACTGAGACGAGGATGTGGATATGCTTCTCCAGCTGAGCACCAGCTGGAGATATCCAGTTGAGGCAGAATGTCAGTAGCTTATCTTCCGATTCTTGGATGGCAGCCGGCAAGACTTGGCACTCAGCTTCAGGTGGGGAGCTGGTCGTTCGGGGAGGCCTCTGCAAGACATGGCCTGTACCTTGCAATTCCGCGGGAGCAGCTGTCCACATGACACATATCTTCTTGAAAAGTCAAGGACCGGAGAAGTTGCGACGGGCCTTTGGCAGTTGGAGGCCGATTGTGTTCGTGCTGTGTTGCTCTAGAACAGCTTCACAATACCCTGTACACTTTAGTGTCTGTAGGCACAGATCTTCCACAGATGGCAAGTACAGGACCTTTGCAAAATGGCAGACACATGACACCAAAGGAGTCCGTATAATCTCGTGAAAAATGCTTCATGCTCGAGAGTGGAAAACCTGTTGACTTGCTTTGCTCTCCGCGTGAGCCGACATTCCTTGAGGAGTTTCATTGCGAACTGCTTGGGGTCGGAGCGGTACCTTCCTCAGTCGAGCCACCAGCACATTAGAGGTTGGAAGCAGCTGTGACTGAGGCCGAGAGAGCTTTCCAGCGCAGCCCCCAGCCGCGGCTGAGTCAGCTCGAAACCGCCGTGTCAGCGTCTCAGGCTAGAGAAGCCAATCGAGCTGCCTGTGCAGCTCGCTGGCCCTGTGTGGGGGCCCTGAAAAGACCGACACAAATGTGCTTCTGCAACTCGCCGTGATAGCTCACTTCCAAGGCCCAATCCTGCAGATGTTTACTTGCACATCTGCTTCTTCGAGACCTTCATGTCGGCTACTGAGCTGAAAGCTGAACAATCCTGCGCTCAGAACCACGCGCGCTAGCCAGGGATATGCTGGCAGGTCCTCTTATTCTGCATGGGGACCTTGGAGCAGCACTTGGCTGCTAATGACTCAGACAGCCAGCCAGCTCGGAATTGCGATCGCAGGCACAAGTCTTGGGGATAAGTTTTTGGAAGTGCGAACCGCTTCGGGGACTCAAAGCGCGGAGTTCTGCAATCACTTTGAAGCTGAAGCCAAGACGATTCCGATGTTGGCAGTGGGTAGGTGGAATGTTTTCTTCATCCCTCGCTAAGGCCTCTGTCAGCTATGGCCCAGCCCGAAGCTCATCTCCAGACGACCCTCGAGGCATGGCATTGAGGAAGGTTCGCAGGGAGCTGCTCTCTTTGCACTGCCAGGTGGTTGATGGAAGAAGCATTGCAGAAGTGGAGCCAAGGTGCCAGTGAGGGAGGGCGGCCTTGTGATGACAGCAACGTTGAGGGCAGCAACTGCTTTTGCAGGGCTGCAACAACAAAGTATCAGCGTGACTAGCGCTCGTCTGGATATTCAGCAGTGAACGCTCTGTGCTGGGAGGCTCCATGTTTGCTCCACCTGGCAATACCCCTTGCTGCACAACGGGTCCAAGGCCTGGCTGGCCGAAATGCAGCAGCCGAGTCGTTCGGACGTTCACAAGCAACCCACTTGGTAAGCTGGTTGTTTTTCCCTGTGCCCGAGCCGGATCGGGACACTTGCCGCTGCTCTTGACCTGTCGCCAGCCGCAGCGTGGACGTGGCCTCTTGAAATTGGCCAGCTTGACGATGCCCGATCCTAAGCTCTGCGCTTCAGCAGTCCAGAAGTTTGTCGGCACCTATGTTCGTGGCCAGCTCCACAGTCTATTCCACGGGAAATTCCCCCCAGCCCCTGTAGCTGTGTCAAAGTCGTGCAGGAAGGGCGTCGAGGCTCCTCGCCAAGTACGTGTGGACGGCTCGGATTGTAGGAAGGATTGAAGCAAGTCTCGGATCGATAGCTGCGGGCCGTGGGTCTATGCACCTTCGTTGCGCGATGAATCATGTTAGTGTTGTCGGAGCCCCGGGGCCGCAATTCATCAATAAGTCCATGTTGAAACGGCACAGAAGACTTCCTGTTGCTGCCCGGGGATGTGCGGCCCTTTCATGCTCAAGGTGTGAGTAGGCGCTGTGAGCGGGGCTTGGGTGGCAATGTCCTCAGGCTCTGGCTCAGAGCAGCTCAGTGGAAGCAACCATGGCGACTCCATGCAGGAGTCGGGATTGTCAGGAATCACAGACAGGTACGGCTCCAACATAATGGATGAGCCGGACGATCCAGATGAAGTGGGGGGCACAGCTTCAAAGGAGGCATCCTTCGAAGAGAAGGAAGCAGCGGGCACGTCTGAACTGAACAAGTACCTTTCCGTGTATGATCAGACCTTTGACAAAATCCAAATTCCTCCAGATGTGGTGGAAGAGACGCAAGCGTGTCTGCGCCTCGCTGGCAGTGAGCTCACGAGTTTCTGTTGTGCTGCCTGGTTGCTTCAGAAGGGCTCAGGCTAGGTACTACCAGCAGGGACCTCGGAACTCTCTGCACCCTCGGCTTTTGAAAGGAATCAAGGACGACAGTCCAAAAATCCTCGTCCTAGCCTCATCTGGGCAGGAGATGGTACAACTTGCAAACCCCAACTGGGCAAGTCATGACTCGCTAGGCCTCACTGTTTGCAAAGCTTAGGGGGGAATGGTTTAGCCCACGCCAGAATCTGGAGATCTTTGGTTGCCAGAGGGGCCCACACAACCAGGATTTCTGTGATTGAGGGATCTCTGCTCTGTCAGGGCAGCCTTCATCGCCGTGATGGGCAGCAAAGAAGCAGCGGGCGAGGCCATTTACTCGACAGTTTTCGAAGCCGCACCCAGCCTTCAGGTGCTGCTTCTTGGCGAAAGCAAATCTTCCCACGACAAGCCGCCATGTGCTGACATGCTGTTTTGTACCGAGGTTCAAGACTCCGAGATCTGTGATTGCGCTTCGTTTTGCGAACGCCTTGGCTGCGCTGGTAAATGCCGCCGGCAAGCCTGGGCAGCTCAAGACGCAAGTGGAGACCATAGGCTTCCAGCACCTGGACATTGAAACTAGGTTGCAGAGTTGTGCCGTTTGGCCAATAGAGCAGACCATGTGCCGTAAATTCTGCGGCCATAGCTTTATGTGACGGCCGATGCGGCTTCAGGAACAAGGTCAAGCCAGGAACCCAAAAACAACCCGAAGCGCCAAAGGGGTGCGGCAGGAGGTCGAGGCCGTTCAATCGACGATAGGAGGACTCGATGCGATCTTGTCGACCTCCCGCATACCCCGGCTGTTTGAGACACTGCTTGCCAGGTAGACCCCAAGACCCAGCACCATGAGTTTCCTCCAAAATGCGCTACCCCCCGTCCTCCAGCGCATGTGGAAAGCTGCTTGCTAGGAAGCCACCAGGAAGGCCCAGGTGAGCGTCCGCACATCCTGCCTCCGCCCCCTGCCCGTACCCGTACCCGGCGCGTACCCTCTGTGAACGCTCATCCTCTGTAGCCTGCGGCCACCCCGCCCGTACCCGGCATGTATGCCGTGCCCCGCTCGTACCCTCCATGAATGCTCATCCTCCGTAGCCATCCGTAGCCCGGCCACCCCGCTCCGTAGCCCCACCGCCCCGCCCGTACCCTGCCCGTACCCGGTGCGTACCCCGCGCGTATACCCCGCGCGTACCCTCCGTGACGCTCATCCTCCGTAGCCGGCCACCTTGCTCATACCCCGCCCGCGCATAGTTACCTCGCGTGTACTCCGTGAACGCTCAGAACCTAACGAGAACCCAACATCCGAGATGTTTTTGGGAAAAGAAAGTCTTGCCAAGCTCAGGAAGTCAGCAGTCCACGTGTGGACATTTTCCGTGAAGCTATTCTGGAACTTTTCGACCAGGACGGACGCAGTTTCAGGAAGTCCCTAGAGACCTAATACTTGTAGTTGTGACTGCCGTCGCAGAGCGAGCAGTGTCCGTACATCGTAGAACCTGCATATGCGTGCAGGTGTGATGAGCAAGAGATCCCATGCATTGCTTGATGTCAGGAGCTCGGCCCACGACTTACCGATCAAGCCAGATTCGGCTTCCAGCTGTTGCTAAACTATACAGGAGGAGCCCTCATTTACATCAGACGAGAGTCGCTTGTCAGTGAAGGAAATGACGGAAATCTGTTGTTAAGCTGACACAGCCAGTGTTTGGGTTTACCGTATCTTGCCCGCGGCTATCTAGGCTCCGCTATCAGAGCTGAGGTATGCCAGCAGAATTCGAATCATCCAGACCAGCTGGAAGTCTGCCAACAAAAAGGCGGCAGGAATTTCAGACGTGGCAGAACCTGCAGAGATGAAGACCCCTTCGGGGAGGTTGAAAGGCAAGTCAGGCGAAATGGGAGATGACAACGACTCACTTATTGGAGATGCTGATGGAGAGGGCGTGGCCATCACAAAACAGACCGATGGCATGATGGTTCCCAGCTCGTTCAACGACATGTTTTTGTTCAATGCAGCTGTCATGGGCTTAACGAACCATGACTGGATGACATTGATCCTGGACCAGCTTGATGCCATCGCGAACAATGTGGCCAACCCCTACCGTCTGCAGGAGGAATGCGACGTCCTTGCATTGGTGCTTTCGAAATACCAGGGCGCCTGCCTCGGCTTTTGCTTCCGAGCAGTTCTGAAGCATGTCCAAGCTTTATGCGTTTGCAGGCACTTTCGTGCTGTCGGAGTTCAAAGCCGTTGTCCTGGCATCTTTGCGGTCCTTAGTCTCTACTGAATGGGATTCCGATCACGAAGTGGCTCAGCTTTGGGTTTTCGGCGCGATGTTTCTGTAACTCGCAGGGCAAATGTTACTGTGCCTTAGGGCCGAACTGCGAAATAGCTTTGAAGGTGGCCTGGAATTGGCTTTGGCAGACACTTGCTCCGCAAAGGTTGTAGCTTCTGCAGCCGCGGCAGCCTGCACAATTCTGACCCTGGTGCAGTGCAGACTAGGAACGTGGAGCGATTGCTGAAACAAGTTCTTGGCAAGCCTCCGGCCCCTCGTCTGCGTAGCAGCAATGCGGGCACAGCAGCACTCCGTTTGCTGTCGTCTGTTTCTGTTGATGATCCACGGGAAGCTTCTGCCCAGGTTCATGAAAAGGCACTTTCGGATTTGTTTATGAGCCTTCCCGAAGCCTCGATGGCAGCCATTCGGCAAGAATTTTTCTTGCACTTCTTCAAAGTGGCACCGGCTGGCTCTGACTTCTTTAAGCAATCATCGACGAGACTGTACTTCATCGCAGACAAGATTATCGAACTCACCTTGGAGATGTATCGGCAGCCGCGTGCGATGGTTGAGGATATCTCAGGGCTTGGCCTCCGCCACGTTGGATATTCGATTCCGTCCGAACTGTTCTCTCCCTTCGTGACATCTGCTGTGGATGTGTTTCGGGAAATCACCGCAAGCGAGACGGCCATAGCGGGGTTTCAGTGGTCCCTCACTCTGGTCTCCAAGATCCTGGTAAGGGCAATTTCAGAAGGATCCACAGTTGTGATGAAGGCAATTAGCACGAATGACGAGATCAGCCTGAAGAAGGGCATGGCCTTGTCGCCTCGGGGCAAGAGGGCCCAGGATCTCCTCAACATTTCGGTGGGTGCCCAATCAATCTCGCCCTTCTATTGGTCCATAAAGAGTGGAAACTTCAATAGCGCAAAAGCCATACTGGACGACTTGCTGACAATTCGAGCCGATCGCGATGTCTACTATTTCGCATGTGACGACCTGTTTACTCGGCATCCTGATGTCGTGCAGTTCTTGATCACTGATGTGCCGGTGCTGCTTCGTCCACTTTTCAGCGGCCTTGTCTGGAGATCTCGGTGGATCAACAGAGGTCGCCTGGTGGCCTCAGTTGCATGGTGGAAGATCATGTTCAGTTTGCTGCCACCGAGGCACCAGGCGAGTCAATTACTACGTCAAGCACCTGGTTCAGGACTTGGAAGGGAACCCGAATGAGACACTCAGTTGGCTGGAAGAGCACGGCGATCCCGACATCATCAGCGACTAGCCTGCCAAGTAGAGACTCACGTGTGCAAGAGCGGCGGCCGTCGTGCACAGCTCCTAGTGCCGAGACCAACCAATCTCAGGCCATCCTGCAGTAGTTTTCTTTTCAGATATTCTCTGGGACGGCATCAGCAAGTTCCATTTTCTGCGGGGTAGAATCCACTTCCTTGTCTCCTTCATCGTGTTCTTAGCACCTTGGTTAAAATTTGTGAGCCTGTATGCTTCCATGATGGTCATGCCGCTTCTTTGTTGAAACTGATGAGCTGGGGCCCAGAAGTATACCGGGCCGTGGATTGCCAGAGCCTGGTGTGATACAGGTCGTTTCGGCAACATCCCACAACCACCCAGCAGCGTACTGTAAGGTGACACGGTAGTCAATCTTGGAACATGTCAGGTCAGCCAGTCTGTTCTGTCAGCCGTGGATGATGCAGATCGATCTGAAGCCCTGCGAATAGCACTTTTCTCCTGCCGCATGTTTATCTATGTTTTCTGCATGATGAAGATGGTCCTCGATCAGATCCGAATGTTCTGCGCAGACTGCAGAGGAGGCTATGTGGAGCGGTATTGTCGGATACCAATCCCGCATTACTTGCAGGAATGGCAGGGCTTGGGGGGCTTGATCCTTCTTTGGCTCCTGGTCATTATGGCAACGCAAGAGCCGATGTTCTGGTGCCTGGGTGGGAGCGAGACCCTCTTCACGACAGCTTGTGCTGAAGGCTTGGCCCGCAGGCGGATGTATTCTGTGTTCTCCAGCCCCTTGCCAGAACTACTTGCATGGGTTCAAACATGTCGCGACAAAGTAGACAGAGATCGCAGCCAGAGGGTCCATACTTTATGGAGGCACGCGGACTGCCCTTCAAACCATCGGACCATGTCCCTTGCTAACTTGGGCTTCCATTGCTTGAAAGAATCCGAACTTCCACACTCCTTCATCGGAGTGGAAATGCCCAACTTATGCCAAGAACGGAACGCATCACACCACACGATGCCGATGTTTGGGATCGCAATGAAGCTGAGTTGCGCTTTCATCTTCTCCCCTAGCGGAAAGACTCAGATGTCATGGCATCCAAAGGACCCCAGAGGCCCACTTGTGGAATCACCTGGAAACGGGCAGTCATTTTTGGTGGGTTCGGTGACAGCTGTAAGATGCATGCACAGTTCTCGGCAATGAAAGGTCCAAGGGCAGCACCTGCAGGGTGGGCAAGCGGGGCAGGAGGGCAGAGCAGGGCAGAGCAGGAAATGGCATAGGGCCTGCCGCTGCAAGGGCAAAGAAGATGAAGTATAAGAGCATGTGAGAGCATTGCAACTTGTCCCAAGGTTTGGCAATGATTCTGTTCTGGGGCCTGCTTGTGAACCTCTCCGTCTTCTCAATGCGCCTTGGCTGTCTGGCCGTCCGAGCTGTCCTCGCACGTGTGCGTTGAAAGCTCGCGAGAACTGACAGGCGCATTTCTGCATTCATCCTGGTATGTGGCCGTGTCCTCTCTGAGGTGCTCCGTGTTTCGTGCTGTAGGCCTCGCGTTGATCTCGTTTGGCAGATTTCTGCATGCCTGCTTCACGCGTTGCCGCAGGTTGGCCTTTTCTTGTTGGCTTTCGTCTTCATCATCTTGGCCTCAGCCTCATCCATCAGCGCGCTGGAGCAAGGCGGCCAGAGTGATGAGGCGCCAAAGCTGAAAGCCACAAGTTACTCGACGAATCCCAGTGTTGTTGATGAGTTTCTGTGAAGGACTTCTCAGGAATTCCATCGGGCTCGTTAACATTGGCTGAGAAGCTCGGCGTGCAGCGGTAACAGGCGGTTGTATAAACTGTCTTCATGTGCTGTCTGGGCATCGTTGGCATTTTGTCTGTATTCTCTGGCGCCACCCATCTGCCAGGGTTAGGTCTACCGGTTGTGTCTAAGTCATTCTCAAGGATTGCCCTCAACATCTACTCCGGGGCGGCCCTGAATTCTCTCCGAAGTGATATGGTCTTGCTTGCCACTTGGGAGCTCGAAAAACGGAAGCAGTTACCGCATAGGAATACAGCTGCCCTGAACCTGGCTGTCTAAGTTTCTGGTCTATGCGTTCTGCATCCTCGTCACCATCTTCCTCGTGAGCTTGCTGGTGGCACAACTGAACCAAGCCTACCAGCACGGCTTCAAAGACATGCAAGGCTTCGCACGCTTAAACCGGGCCGCGAACCAAGTTCTTCGTGCGAGACCTGCCTGGCGAATTTCTCCAATGCAAGTGCACCTGCCGCTTCGCTCACCTTTCTGCAGCAACCTCCTAGGTTCATATTATTGTGTACACCTTGGAGAACATGTCGAGCAAGAGCTGGACCCGTTTTCTGGAGTCGTTGCACTTCGACGAACGGCTTGCTCCCTGGCCTCATATCAAAGCCAAGTGTCGCGAGTTGCAGAACTTGGCTTCCCCAGGAGTTCAACGAGGGCGATGTCGGGGTGGCGGGAGGCATTCAGGTACTCGAGCCGGCCAGTCAGCACCCGACCAGTGTTGAGTCCATCCGCCGCTACGGGGGCTCGACTGCACCGACCATGCCATGGCCCGAAGAGCCAGGCCACTCGTCATTCTCAGGTCGCTCGCTGCTTTCAGTCTATGTAGTCTGTTGCGCGGGCATGAGGCGATTACGGACAGGAGGATAAGTTCGAGAAGCTAGAGACTTGACTCGTTTACGGTTATACAACCTGCATGTGAAGCCATGGCTGTGACTCGGGAGGGGGCAGCTCCACTGCAAAGCTGACAGTTCTCTTCAATCATCTTGAGTGCTTACATCGACAAGGAGAAGCTGATCATCCGAACAACGAAGAACCTGAACAAGGGACGTCTCTCGGATGCAGCTGACCATGGCCTTTTTAATCGCACCTTCACTTGATGATGCAGCATGCCCAATTTCCAGGCCTTGAGAAAGTTGGTCATGAAAACCCGAAAAAGATTGCGAAGCTTACTGTAGCAGGAAGCAGATACTAAGACCAATGGAGAAGAGGACCGTGGCGAATTTCGGCAAGAGTATTCCAGCCTAAACCATGGATTTAAAGATTCTTGGAGCGATTCTGCCATCTGCCTTGAAGAAACGGTAGCACACAGACAAGGAGGACCTGAGATTTCACAGCACGTGTCCTCAAAGCTGTTGAACATATTAATATGAGGATTTCTCATTATATCTTTGCCTCATGTTAAGACAAGCTGAGACAGAGCTGGTTTTCGCAGGCGACAAGCAGAGACGGGGTGGTGGCGGCCAGAGTGGCGCATCGTCTATGGCCATGTCAGACGGATCCAGCAACAAGTCTGGCAGTAGTGAGGAAGAGTCCTCCTAGTGACCTAGTATCCTCAAACGACCGGAAGGGTCCCAACGATTGTTTCCAATCAGATGCTTGTTTCGTGCCCGGCACCCCTTTAAATCGTCGACGGACAGGCGGGCAGGGAAGGCGAGAAGTGCGTCAAAACTTGCTCGGTCAGATAACAGGTGGTTGTCAATGGAAATTTGGTTCTTTCAGCTTTCATGTTGTCTTAGAGCAATGACGAAGCATGGTCTGGCACTCGGCCGGCAGAAAAAATTGCTGCTGTCAACCAGTCCATGTCCTTGCGCAGATGCTGGTTAAAGTCCCGCCGAATTCACGTTTCACAGAACAGACATAGAACCAGAGCGACAGTTCGCCCAAAGTGGGCGAGCTGGCTTGGAGTCCTTTGGCCAGACGGCTTGGAAGTCGCAGCGAAGCTATGCCAACCTCCCCTGCTCTTGAACCACAGCACACTTATGCGACTCGGTGCTGGAAAGCAGGTGGCACTTCTGCCACTAGGAAGGGCAGGACCTTGTTGATTTTTTTGCCGGCGCGGGCGTCAACGCCCAGGCGATAAAGAAGATTTACGCAATAAAGGCATGTTCTCGTTTCGCAGCAGCGCCACGGCTCCTTGCAGTCTTTGGCCAGCAAACCACATGACACAATGCATGGCTGCAAAGTTTGGCTCGCGACCCCCACGCGACCTCTGACTTTGCGCCGCCCCCCCCGCGCGTTGGGATGTCGGACCTATCGGATGAAAACGGTGAGACTGACGACGTTGAGGAGGCCATATCTTCACAAGTCCAGAACTCCAGGAAGAGCTGCCTTTGGAGTGTTCCTTAGGCCACCTCAGTCATAAGCTCCCATGTAGGCACACACGGGGCGGCTCCACAAACTTGCACAGTGCTTACGGCACGGGCACTCGCTGCCTGAAGATCACGATAATATACTTGCTGGAGGTGTAAACCTCGAAAGGCTTCGATCCCCCCCTTCGAAGGCAGATTCTGTAAGTTTCGTGTCAGGAAGAGGCGACAGAGGACGCGGCCGAGGCCGAGGGAGATGAGCTTGGAGATGACACTATCCCGAATGAGAATCCAGCAGCCTGATGGGAAAGAAAAACCTGTGATTTTGTCGTGTCAACTCTTACTTGCACCGGATGCATGTAGAGAGGGCTGAACTTCTGAGGCTGAGGAGGACACGGACAAGAACATCCAGAAACATTTGGAAGTGCATGATGCGACCTTCGAGGAGGCATTTCAAGTTGTCATAAGATGGCAGTGTACAACCAACGCTCTGAGCATGCATGACCGCGCTTGTGGATGCCGAGGCGTATTTTCCGCTCGATGTCATGCAGGAAGTTCTTCCCTTACTCGAGGATTTTCTGTTCCGTGAGTGGGCTGTGAAGCCGGGCAGGGCTCTTGCGAGCGGGTTGACGGCTAAGGTCCAAGACGCATGGCACATTTTCATTACCCAACTGAACGGTCGAGACTTGGTACAACTTCGATGCTGACGGTACAGTTTTGCATCGGGTCTGCCATGGGAAATGGGAGTTGTAGAGTCTGGTGCCTTGAGGCGACGCAGCAGGAGAGGCAATCTACGCGGCAGTCTTCGATGCGGCCCCAAGCCTGCAGAGCCTCTTCAAAACAGCCAGGCTCGAGCTCAAGCAGATGAGCTTGTCAGACAGAGTCACTTGAGTCACTGGAGTCAGAGTCCAATCTGGTTTCAGCATGATACTGCAGATTTCACGGTGGCATTTTCGGGGTGGCGACCCTTTGACAGGTCAGTCATGGCGATGCGCTTCATGAACGGCCTTACCTCGATCGTCTCAGCTGCGAACAATCCGCAGCTGCTCAAGACACAAGTGGAGAGCCTGTCTCAGCACATCAGCATGACGCAGCTGTTTCTTTCGAAGTTGAAGTGTTGCGTGCTGAGCTCTATTTGGCTTAGTTGTCGGACTCGGTGCAATCGGAGTCATCGCATTTTCAAGAGTGAGTGTCGGAGCATGCTGAGCTCAGGAGCCTTGGCTTCCAACATTTGGACCTGGAGGTGACCGTTCCGAGAGTGGGCATCTTCCGTGAGGCTATCGTGGAGCTCTTCGAAATGGCTGCCCGGCCTAAAGACCTAGTCGGGGCTTGGAGGGGAGAGCAAAGCGAGATGGGCGGATATTCGACGAGTCCTCGTCCGAGGAATTGGGTGTCCGCTTCTCAACGAAGGCGAAACTTGGGCTCCAGGCCGGCTGCTGTGAGCCGAAGACGTTCGTGAACACAGCTTCTTCTTTCTTCAAAAAAGAGTTCAAGGCGTATCACCTCTTGAGTGAATGTGGGTTCTTGAAGCCAAAGCCTCAACGGTCTGCTCCCAGTTGCTGATGCACGCATGTCTGCTCAAGTCCCGGCAGGCCGTACTGAATTATGCTGGTGGCGCCTACATTTATATTCGTCGCGAGTATGCCTCCCGAATTCGGATAATACAGCGGAGTTGGAAGACTGCGAATAAGTCTTCTCCTGGCGAGGAGGCAGGGGGAGAGGCTACTGGGGCATGCAAAACATAGAGGTTTTGCTGCATTGCACATGTGCGAGGACGGAGAGGAAGCTCCACAGAAGTCGGGAGACCAGACAGAGGAGGCCAAGCAAGAAGAGGAGACACAACCACAGCAGCCGGAGACTACAGCCACACAAGAAGCTCACTCTAAAGAAGTCCAGGCTCGGTGGTTAAGTGGGTAGCACGAGTCGTCTCGTTGTGGCTGAAAATGCGCCATTCTGAGGCTGAAGCTGTTTCCAGTCTTTATCCCCAATTCTTGGTCAGGGTCAGCCGTCTAGCAAGACCATGGCATCCGGAAAAGACGGAAAGGCTCCGGTGAAGGCTGGTCTTCGCAGGAAGGGATGTCAGGATGCCCATGTCAGACTCACATGCAGGTTCCAACTACCTTCAGCGAAATGTTCTTGTTCAATGCGGCCGTGATGGGCTTTGCTGAAAGCTCCTGGATGACATTGATTCTCGACCAGTTCCACAACATCGTGACCAATGTCGCCAACTCCTACCGTTTGCAAGAGGAGTGCGATGTGCTGACACTTGTGCTTGACAAGCACGAGGGGCAAGTTCACCTGTCGGAGTTCAAGGCGCATGCCCGAAAATGGAAATCGTGCTTCTGCCGTTTCTGTATATCTGGTTCACCTTGCCACTATCCGTCCAAGGCGGTGATGCTGTCATCTTTGCGCTCCCTGGTCCCGAAAGAATGGGATTCCGAACATGAGGTAGCATGGAATTGGTTGTGGGAGAGCCCTGGCTGCACACTTCCTCTTGCAAGCTGGGAACGTCCAGGAAAGGTCTCCTTCCAATTCAGCCCATGTGCGAAGGAACGTCGAGCGCATGCTCAAGTCCCACATGGGCAAGCCTCACAGCCAAGAGAAGGCCTTAGAGCGATTTATTTCTGGTCTTTCACCTGACGATGTTACACAGCTTCGGCGCCACATCTACCAGAAGTTGCAAGCTCAGTCGAGCAGCATGCAAATCCTGTTCGGCCAGCGTACAGCACACCTTCCTTCGGGGCGTTCTAGGCTCCGCGTCATTTCTCGACATTTCTCGATGCTCGACAGCCGAGGTTCTTCCAGGTCGCCCCGGCAGGGCAAGACCATTTTAAACAGTCTACCACCAGACTGTACTTCATCGCAGACAAAATCTTCGAAATGACGATGGAAATGTTTCACAGCCCTCGTATGATGGTGGAGGCTGGTGCTTGCAGTTTCCTGCGACTTGCGAAATCGCTCTGCGTCGGTGGTCTGTCTGCAGGACATCTCAGCTCTGGGTCTACGACACGTAGGCTATGCCATCCCGACGGAGCTCTTCGCTCCTTTTGTGAGCTGCGCTGTGGAAGCCGTGCGTATGATGACCACGGACGAGGTTGCAGAGGCTGCCTTTCGTTGGTCCTTGACGCTGATTTCCAAGATCTTGGTGCGCACCATCCTTGAGGGAAGCACCATCGCCCGGAGCTCAGCAGCGTTTGACCAACCTTGATGCAGCAGAAGCATCTGCCCGTGTCACGTCGGCAAGAGCTGTCGGGCTGAGGTGATGAAAGCCATCAACACGAACCAAGCGAAAGCTCTCAAGAAGGCAGTGGCTATTGCTCCACGAAGCAAGCGCGCAATGGAGCTGTTGTGCCACGGCACCGAGTGAGAGACAAGCGCTCGTGGGTTTGTTGCGGTCCCGATTCAAGACTGACACTGTGCCAAGGAACATTACGGTGGGTACCCAATCCATCTCTCCTTTCTATTGGGCCATCGAAAGTGGTAGTTTGGAGTGTGCCAGAGCCATGATCCAGGATTTGCTCACGATCCGTGCCGACAGATGCCGGGCTGAGAAGTCGTGCAAGTGTATGTAGAAGGCAATCTGGGCAGGCCTCGGAGTCTGGGCTGTCTTGAGCGCCCGTCTTGCTTCTCAGGAGACAGCTACTACTACGGTGTTGATCATTTATTCACAAGACACCCCGAAGTTGTTCAACGCCTCTGCAGCTTTGTCGCAGACACGCTGCCGTGACTCACGACCTCGTTTGACCTGGAGAGCAAAGTCTGTCTGACCCAGGTGCCATCGCTCCGCAGCTCCTTTGGCCTCTTCTGGACGGGCTAGTCTGGCGGTCTCGGCAGGCCCTGGGTGGAAGACGCCGCGTGAACTACTATGTAACTGGTCTGAAACAGCTACGGTCGTGGCTCGTTGAAGTCTAGAGTCTAGAATCTAGAACACCTCAGCTAGGGCCGCTGCAGCACCACCACGTGTTTTCCGCCGTACTGCCTCGTGATCGCTGGGCAGATCTTTGAGCATAATCAGCAAAATGATAAACACTTCGATCTTCCCGAATCCCGTCGTGCCCCGACAGAGTTCGGCACAGCAACACCGAGCATTGGGGCTTTTTGCATTGACTTCGTCCCTGTGCTTGCAAGGTGAAGAATTTGGTGCAGGACTTGCTTTGATGCAGGGCATGTTGGAGACGCGTGCTTTTGCACATGTTTCGAACACTTTCACGCTTGTTCTGTCTCGGGGCACACTCATTCTGCAATAAAGATGCGGATACATCTGTGTCGCAGCTTTCACTTAGACTGCACGGTTTTCGAAGAAATCAGCCGGGCCAATGTTGAATAACACGTCTTGCTTGTAGGAGGACATCTGTACTGCCGAGTGAAGATTCCAAAGACTTGTGTAACAGTGACAGCTCTCATATTTCGAAAAGGATCTTAACAGCAACTTCAACATGGCTCTGGAGTGGCTTGTGGAACGACATGACCCCAAGATCATTTGCCATCCATGCGTTGTCATCTTCGCGGACCTTTTGTGGACTCGGCTGGCGCAGTCCCTCGGATTGCTGCGAATGGATGTTGCAGGGTTGGCGTCTTAAAGCTCATAAATTCCTCACTTAGGCTCTCTTATGGCAGATTGCTTGTTTCAGGTACAATTTTCTTTTGAGCCGATGCTACTTCCTGTTCTCGCTATGTGCTGCTTGGCATGAACACACCTCTCGTCTCGTTCGGGCGGTTTTGCAGGTCTGGGTCATTTCAGAAATCCTTGCTGCCAGGTTTTCATCGCAGGCCAAGCAATCCTTGGAAAAACCGATGCGACTTTCGAAGAGCGTGTTGCGACGTTTTGCTGTCGAATCTTCATCTATCTTGGCAGCATGTGCCGCATTCTCTACAGCAGCTCGGCCTGCTTCAAGTTGCATATGAGCCGAAATCAATCTGTTCTGGGTGAGTTTGTCACCATGGGATTTACTTTCCAGTTTCAGCTAGTCAAATCCGCTTCTTAGTTTTTCAGTTAAGCTCTTTGGATTCTGCCATGAAAAGGGCTAGCAGAGTTGCAGCGCAGCACAGCTACTTTCGTTATTGTTCGCTGCGATGACAAACACAGCACCTCTGCTCATGTGACTATTGTGCTCGCCTGTGATGCAGCCACTGCCTTGCCTAGTGGGCTGCCGCATATCCGCTTTTCCAAAACTTACGTGAAAGAAGGAAGGTATGCCCGCACTTTGAAACACTCCAATTCGGCAAAGACCGAGAACATGCCCGAAGGGCACCCGGAGCAATCAGCTCACTAGGGCCCAATAGGGTTTCGCGATGACACGGGGACACGTGCCGGATTGACTTTCGCGGTCCATGCTCGCCCCTTTCACAGCATCCTTCGTCTTTGGAATGCTTGCCTCATCTTGCCTCATGTTTATAATGTCCGAAAGGTTGGGAACGAGGCAAGCCTGACTAGCTCATCCGAACACTTTGTCGAGAAGTCGAGGTCAGATTCGACTCTTCTACGAAGACATCAAGGCTGGCGCTTTTGAGCGCATATACAGGATCCCGATTCCAATGCGCTTCAGCCAAGTGGGCTTTCTCGGTGCAAAGCTTCTTCTCAAGGAGTGGCAAGATCTGTCGTCCTTGTTGCGAGTAAGGTATTTGCTCAATCCGCAAGACTTTGGCAACCTCATCCTGCTGATCATCCTCATGCTCATGTGCGCACAGGAACCGTCGAGTATAAGTTGTTCAGGTTTTGTTCGCTGTGCACAGGCCTTTGTCAGATCTTATCTGGTTGCGCACGCCCAGAAGCGCGTGCGCGTGTTGACAGGAGCCAATATTTCATTGCTTGTCGCACACAGAAGAATTTGGCCTCTTCTCCGTCAAGTGTGCAGACCGGGGGCACAAGGCCGGTGGGAGAAGAAATGTGAGATCATGTGAGTACACGACGGAGCTCGCTTGCACCTTGCCCAGGACATCTACGCAGTATTTTCCGGTGTGGCAATGCTCCTGTACTGGCTCCTCCTCATCAACTTCAGCATCTTCTCCATGCAGATCTCGGCATTCGTTCTGGTGTGTGGCCGAGTGCTGACAGAGGTTTTCCTTTTCTTGCTGGCTGCCGTCTTCTTGCTTATCTCCTTCGCAACGGCTATTGCGGCAATGAACCACAGCTTGAAGGATTTCAGTCGTATCGACAAAGGAATGGAGTCGCTGCTCGAAATGACACTCAGCATGTATCCGAATGAGGCCCTCAAAGAGGTTCTGACACAGTCCGTGTGGGTGGAGATTTGTATCGTGCTGTTCACGATCCTGATGTCGATCGTGTTTCTCAACCTGTTGGTGGCGCAGTTGAACCAGGCGTACAGCTTGGTTCATGAAGATATGCAAGGATATGCACGCTTGACCCGCGGAAGCATCATCGTCGCCACAGTTGAATCAATATCGCGCAAACGTTGGAACGGCTTTTTGCAGATTCTCGGCGTGGAAACATTCTGTATTCCTGGCCCAGCTGTGCCCAGCTAGAAGATCTCAGGAGCCTCGGCTTCGATCAGCGCTTGGAGTTCAACGAGGGCGATATCGGCCTGGCAGGTCCCATATGCCCTTCCACAAGCACCGTAGCATTGCACCGTGGCTCGCGACCTGCAGGCGGCATCCAGGTCTTCGAGCCGGCAAACGCCAACCCGACAACGGCGGGTGCCTTACTGCTCAGACGCGGGGCATTCTTGACTTCCTGGCCTAGCCGATTTTTTTTGGTAACACAGGTGGAGACCGTGAGGCGCTTTGGTGGATCCACGGCACCAGGCGTTCCCTGGCCAGAGGATCCTTTGGATGTGGGAGAAGAGGATCGCTTGGAGAAACTCGAGCCTTGGTCAGAAACAGCTAACTGCAGCAAACCCAGCAACGCCAGGTCCAGCTCACAGAGAGCAGCGGGAGACAGTCATGTGTGTGTGTGTGTGTTTGTGTCTGGAAGTCCTGTTTCTAAGGACAATGAGTCGGATGTTTTATACAATGCCTTATACAATATTGCTTGAAAGTAGATTGAGAATGCAGGGGGCTGGCAGCCTATTCCGTCATGCCAGCCAACGAAGGAAAGGTGGAAGGAGCTACCAGTATGGACGCATAGCTCCGTACCTGCAACAGTTTCACCTGCCGAGATATCTATATCTACATATTAATATACATAATCAGCCTTGGGACCAAATCTTAAGGATGTTGACGACAAAATCTATGGAAGCATTGTATCTGGGACGATTGTCATCTTGCAAGAAATTCAAACTCTTTCAGGCTCCATAATTGTTTAGTAAAGTAACTGTACGACGACGACATCGAAGCGACGAGAACAAGGAAAACGTTGGAAATTGACAACCGGCATGACCGGAAATCTCCATGTGTGTGTGGGTGTGTCTGTCAGGAGAAGATCGTGGTGAAAGCCATGAAAACGATCACGGACAAGAAGGGCGGCTCCATGGGCACCGGATTTTCGGGAGTGTCGGGTTTCCCGTCGTCAACATCTGGAAGTGGACTCAGCTCTGGAGCTGGATCCTCTGCCTTGAGCTCAGCGAGGCTCACTCTAAAAAGCGTGCGTCTGCGCTCGTGTATCGCCCAGGATGGAGCTGGAAGAAGCGGGATGAGTCGCTGAGGAGCCCTGCAAGAGACTTTTTTCATGCTTTTGCAGTGCAGCGACGCGTTTTGAATGCAACATCTGGTCCTTTTTGTTGTATGCAGCTCTGTGCAACACAGCCAGCTGCTTCTACCTACAAAGAACTGGGCTGGGCTGGAGTTGCAGCAATTGCCCTCTACTGGGGAAGCTCTTGCAACAGTGCAGTTTCCAGCATCTGCTCTTGTCATGTGGCCAGATCTTTTCACGGGCCTCATGCGTCTTCGGAAGAGGTTCTGAATAAGACTCGCGGTGGGGTTCTTGTCAGAAGTGGCCTCTCGCGCTAGCGCCTGTAGGATTGCAGAAGCGGGCCGAAGGGATTGTTACGTATGAGGCTGAGGCAACATTGATCTGGCAAGGCTTCGGCTCAGCGGCTTCTGAGAAGCTTTGCTGAATACCATGCACACATAAGCGCGCGCGTTGTGCACTTATGCAGGTTTTCGATGCTCCCATATCTGCCGAAAAGGCAGTCCCTTGTGCACAAATTTCCGCTTGCTCATTGTGGATGTGCATGGGCGGATAGAGCAGGGGAAAGCTTCATCAAAAGCCGCCGATGCTTGATATCTTGCAGCAGAATAGCGCAGGAGGCGTGGAATTGCAGAAGCCAGCGAACGATAGTCCATTCCCCATGACTCTTTCGACAACTTCGATGTCGGCGTGTCACTTGCAAGCCGCTGTCATCTTTGCCTGCATCCAAACTGGCAAAGTGTGTTCTCTAGAGGGCAAGATGCCCCTTTACCGCAGCACCAGCTACTTCGTATTTGCGACTCATCCACTCCATCATGCATTCCGCTGTAGATCTCCGTCCCCTCCCCGATGGTGCTGGGTCAGACCCTGCCCTCAACAGTGCGGGCTCCTATCGTCGGAGCGTTTCATGTCACCTCAACCTTGACCTTTGGCTGACTTTGCGGATACGCGAATCAGATCGAAAAGTGAGCAGATACGATTTGCAACGAATCTTTGCAACATGTCGCTGGCTTGACGACAGCGAGTCCATGGCCTGCTGCCCATGGACAACGCAGTAGTCGTGCAAAGTCGTGCCAGGCATGTTGGTGCTGTTCCAGGGATAAGGGATTAGAAGGGCGCGTGTAGACGATCTACGGAAATCGTTCCGAAGGATGAGGGAACTGCAGAATTCTGCCATGGCGCAGCTTGTTCTTCTTGATGTAGCCTCCACACCAAGCCAGGTGCAGAAGGCCAGGCGCCACCATGCTTTTGTCCAAGAGCGAAGAGAACAGAGAGACTTCGTCTTCCGGTCTCCGAGGCAGTGCATGCATCTTTGATAGCCTGGCGCGAGCCGCGCTTGGCGACTAAAGCTTTGAGCCAGCTCAAGAAGCAGAAGAAAGGAGCCATTGCAGCGCAGGACGGGAGGTATGGCAAGTTGTATGGAACCCTGCAACTACCCATTTGTGCTGGTGGGGTCGAGTGGATGTGTTGGTACAGCACGGTAAGCCGCTGAAGTGAACGCCGTGCCGGTGCACAGGTTCTTGGTGCCATGCGCCATCTCACCTGTGAGACTTCATCTTTCCACTTCAACACGGTGATAAGTGCCGTATCCGAAATAATACTGTCTGAGTGCCCGACCCTTCCGTTGCCCAAGCTCGTTGATGTGTTGGTATTGTTAGGGTTAGGCTTTGGAACATGCAGCCTCTGGACAGGTGCCTGTGCTGAGAGCGGTCTCTGGCAGCTGGCACTACATGTTCTGAACTTGGACTGCAAGCAGAGTAAGCGCCGGCCCCCCAGCCGGCAGGCAAAGGGCTAGGCCGCTAGGCATCCGGCAAGAACCGCGCCAATCCACCATAGAGTCATGTTCATCTACATGATGGTGACGCTGAGGAGCAGCATGCGCAAGTTGACCGCAGAGCAGAACATCATTAGCTTCAGTAGCTGCATTGCAGCTTGCGACAGCTGCAGCCAATGGCAGTGCGCTTTGCATTTGCTTGGGCTTTCATCATCCACACGACTTCAGCACTCCATCATAACTTACAACAGTCTTGTCAATGCATGTGCGGCAGCTTCAAAGTGGCAACTGGCTTTGCACCTCTTTTGGCTGTCGTTGGAGTTGTCGTTGCTTCCAACTGTGGTAAGCTATGGCGCTGCAATCAACGCATGTGAGAAAGCTGGGGAGTGGAAACGCGCCTTCTCATTGCTGCACACTGCCCAAACATCTGGAATTAGCCCGAACACAATCATGTACGATGCTTGCATCAGCACCTATGGCAAGGGTGGCCAGTGGCAGATGGCCTGCCTTCATTTGAGCCGCATGGCTATGGCACAGGTGAAGCGGATAGACATCAGTTTCAATTCTGCCATAAGTGCCTGCGAGAAGAATAGCTACTGGAAGGCGGCGCTGGGAGTGCTTGGTACCTTTCCAGCAATCATGCCACGGTTTCCCTAGCCCTAGACAGCTGCCAGCACTGGCTTTCGAAGGGGGAAAGGTGCTCAGAGATCAAGCGAGACTGGCCTTAGCCTTGCAAGGCTCTTCCCCGTAGGCAACGGTTAGAGGCTTAGAGGCTTCATCTTTGGCCTTTCATTTCATGGACCCTGCAGCCCCCACAGTCCGTTTTGGAAAGGCTAACGACAACTCTACCACCGGCCTCGTGCATGAGTTGTGAACCCATGACAACAACAATCGCACACTAACAACATAACGATGACAGTAACAACAGCAATAATAATCGCAATAAGGGTATAAGGGTAGCGTTAAAATAATAGTAGCACTAATAGCAAACTTAGTAATAGCAGTACGTGCTCAGAAGTAAACTTATCATACTAAGGCAAATGCTAATAACAATAAAAACCCGAAGCAATAACAACAATAGAAACATTATTTTCAATGAAAAGTCATAGTAATATTAATAATAATCATAACAATGTCAATAACGACAATAAAGCAATAAAAAAACTAACCTTAACAGGTATGATCCAGAGTATGCACAATCTGATTCATAACCGCCATGCTGCTACTGCTGCTACTGCTGCTACTGCTGCTACTACTACTACTACTACTACTGCTACTGCTGCTACTACTACCACTACGACGACGACAACGACGGCTACTGAAAAACAACCTGATAATAGCAATAAGGCTAGAAATAGTCATTGCTCAGAGCCTGGCCTGATTGCTTCGAGCATGTGCCTGAGTCCTTTTGTCCTGCTGCTCGAGGTGGGATGTCCGCAGAAGATGTGGCGAAAGACTTCATCAGCTTTGACTCTAGCATCAGTGCTTGTGAGAAGTCAGGCCGGTGGAATGAATCAGTGGATTTGCTTGGCTCGATGCGCTGCCAAACGGTCGAATGCATAGCCCCTTTGCCACACCCTTCGCTGTGTTTCTTCTTCAATCAACGTTCTGCCTGCCTTGTTCAGAACGTGTTGCACGTGCTTCGCAGAAGCATCGCCATAGCAACGAAGGTGATCTCCTACAACTCCCTCATCAGTTCTTGTGAGAAGGGTGGGCAATGGGATCTGGCGCTTAGTGTACTTCGAAACTTGCGCTCCAAATATCTCGATGCCACTGATGCTTGGCTGCTTTGTTTTGCATCAAAGAGAGCGGCTTTAACCTATGAGCCCATAGACCCTTTTTCTTATCCATTGCTCGCCCACGAAGCCGCGAGGCCATCAGCTTCAATTCGTGCATCAGCGCATGCGAAGCTTGTGGATGCTGGACGTTCGCCTTGCGTCTCCTTGACGACATTTCTGAAGCAAGTTTGGTGCCCACCGGGGTCAGCTATGGTGCAGCGATTGGGGCCTGTGAGAAAGGGGAACAGTGGCTACTCGGCTTGAAAGGCAGGAGCTATCGGATCTTTGTGAACATCACAAAATCAGAAAACATGCATTCTGTGAGGAATTGGGCTTTGCGATTTCTCACAGATTGGCTCAAGAGCAGGCCTGATGCCAACGAGGTCACATGCAGCGCAGCAGTCGCTGCATGTGTGAGGGGAGACTGTTTGCAGCAAGCCGTGGCTCTTTTGCGCGGCATGCGGGCTTCCTGCATCGTCAGGTTGTCCGATTGATTTTGACCCGTGCCTTCCAGCAGCGATTCCTTCGAGGAGTTTCATGACTGCCAAAGCAGTCCTTCGCCAGATCGATGAAGCTCAAAATGGCCCGGCCTCCCCGGGCCCCATGCCCATGTTGAACTTGCGGGGCCAAATCAAAGCTTTGTAGATGCTGTGAGGCCACTTGAAGAAGCAGCTAAGCTAGTGACTAGTGCAAGACTTGGAGCTTGAAGCAAGCAAGCGCGTTCTGCATCCTGGTACTGTTGTCTTGAGGTGTGGAAGGAGTGCACAAGAGTGCACTTGGCACGACTCCAGATGACTTTTCAGCTTTCGAAGCTCAAGCAAGGTCTGCGAAACTAGCAGGAGAAGACCAGCATTTGTCTTTGCTCCGACATGGCACCTGTCAAGACGTCGGCGGTCCAATCGCTGCAGCTGAACAGCCGAGCCTCGGTGAGCGTGGGGTTCCTGTAAGTGCATGGACATCTGTGTCGTGCAACGGGCAACTCATGCGTGCGTGCTTACGGTAGTGCTTCCTTGAGGAGAGTGGCCAATGTTGACCTCGGAGCCCGAGTGGGAGATGGTAAGCAGCTCTGCCAAAGAGATGGCATTCGACGAGTTCCCTGTAGATGAGACAGAGGCTCCATCCTGGGCAGCTCGTCTATGCACCCAGAAGGACAAAATCACCAAGACCGACAAAAAGACGGCCACGAATCAGTCTCTCAGAGACGATAAAGAGGTCAGCTCGGAATCCTGCCGGCAGGTGACTGAGGAATGCTTCGAGGACGATGATGATTGTTGCTATCCGGATGCGAAACAGCTTGCCCGTGAAAGTCATTGCCGCCAAACCGGCAAGGGAGGACGCCATACCATGCGTGCTAAAGGCCACTGTCCCGTTCGAAAGAACTCGGAAGTGTCAGTCGTCGCAGCTTGCGGTGCTCATCCACAGGATGTTTCCCAACTGGCCAATATTTTGCGGCAAGTTCCTGTGCGTGAGGTGGTCAAGCAAGTCGGGGGAGCTTGCCGGGAAGTGAAAACTAGCGAGGCTAGGAATGCCCTCCTTGGTAGTGCCAAGGTGTACGATGTCACTGTACCTGTGACGGGCCCTACAGATGACATTGATGTCACCTATCGTGTCATTGAAGAGGTTCGTGGTGGGGCAAATCGATCAACCCGCAATCCCAAGTGCAGCGCCAGCCACACCACGGAATCGTTTCAGTCGAGGAGCAAAGTACCAGAGTGCGCGCAGACCAGGAAGCAGCAGACGTGCAAGAAAGACATCCAGGAGGGCATGAACATCATGGGCTTCGCTTGAGCAAAACTGCGAGATGGCAGCATGATACTACTCAATTCTAGCTTGTGCTACTGCATTTAAATTCGTTCATTTCTTTCGCAGGAAGATGCACGACGGTGTGAGACAACTGCAGTGTTGCTATCTTACACTGTCTGCGTCATGTTGCGACAGCTGTACAAAGTCCTGCTGCCGGCTAGCCTGTATGGCAAGGCATGCAGGAGGGGTCGTTTGGCATCTACAATCCACGTCTCCGGACGATCTTTTGAAGAACATCCAAAGGCTGCACTGGGGTAGGCCCCTCAACTGCCAACAGTTCCTCGCGTTGCCTTTGGATCGAGTTGTCCCACTCCTCGTGGCTTTTGCATTCACTGTCTTCTACCACAGGAAGGGTGTATGTTGCTTTTTCCAAGGCTTGGCCCAGCGAGGAGAGTTTAACAGAATTAGGGGGACTTGCATGCCAGAAAACACGGCATGCAACGACAAGCATTGCTATAATTTCTGTACAGAGTTAGTATCATATGCTTGGGGTACGATCGCCCTCCAGGTTCTTTGCCACCGGTAGCAGGATCTGCAAGCTTTGTGCTCTTGTTGATGGTAATCACATGCTTCGCGAGCATGAATACTGAAGATCTTGCGGCAGCAATTTTAACATGCGCCATACCTCTTCCTGGCAGACAAAGAGCTGGATACGACTAATCTGACACCAGAACGCGACGCTCGAAACTGAACAGCATACCTCGGCGCATGAACTGCAGGACAAGGTGCAGGCACCGGTGTGATTCATGAAGTTGCTTGCCTGGGATGTGCGATTATCAAGTCTGTCTGTGTAGAAAACGAGGCAGGCACTAGCTGTATAGGCAGCGTAGCAATGCCTCATGAGATGGCTGAAGTTCGCTCGCGATGGTGGGCCATCCTGCAGTTCGGCTATCGCGCAAACGGCAGAGCAAAAAGGCAACCGCGAATTTGCGCGGCCCTGCCATCTTTTCGTGAATTGGCCGAGAGCCGTGGCAGGAGAGGTTGGTTCCCGAAGTGGACTTGCTTCTGTCCTGCGGCCCTTCCGTCACCGAACAGGCCAGCAGTGATTAGGTCAGCGATTTGGCGATAATGGTGAACGTAATGCAAATCGGCCCACGGTGATGAGGAGTTGCAGCGGATGCTGTCGCCCTCTCTGCAGCGATGGCGGCACCGTCCGCAGGAAGCGACCAAGGTCCTCGCAAGCCTGGCAACGATGAGGCAACGTGAGTGTAGATTCAGAGATATTCGGAGAAGCGCAAGTGCCAGTCTTCGACATAAGGCTACATAGATCAGGACCCAGGCAACACCATAGACACGATGAGGCACCTGTTGACGACAACTCGTGTATTTTGCACCTTAAGCTCTAGCTCACTGAAGTGGGAAGCAGCAGGAGTTCAACAGCTTGTGAATTGTCGCAGTCGCGCAGCGCTCGCACAATGTCGCCTGAGACGCGGAATTGAGCGAAGCAGAGGCCAAGTTTGGCGACCGTCCACATGCCCTCAGGCGCATATCCCTGGCGGGCGACGTCTTGACGCTAATGCAGCGTCTCGGAAAGAATATGGCGATACGCTGTGAGACACTGACAGAGCCCCTAGGAATACAATCTGCCTACGAATTATCATCCAAACGGGCCAGCTCCATTCGACAGAGGATGTGTGGCACAACAGTCATAGAGCTGTCCGCAAGCACCTTTTGGAATCGATGCGGGCTCGGAGTTTATTGAAAAGCAGGGGGTTGGCTCCTGTAGCTTGCGACATATCACCATAGTGAGAGTACCACGAAACGGCCCGATCGATTTGTTTCCACCAGCAGGCTCACACCGACATTGGGCTTTCTTGCATGGTTTGGAGTGATGGAGAGCTACCATCTGCAGCAAGAATAGGGCCATGAACAGACGGCAGAGGAGCGATTGCAGAGACACTTTCCCGAAAGCTGAATCTAATGATTGTGCCGAGGAAGAACCTAGTGGAATGCAATGTGTTTCACTTCACTGCCTATGTTGGTGCCTGCGAAAAGCTGCCTGGAGTGATTGGAACACTTCCGCTCAGCGGCCCTAGGATTTTTCAAGGCCTGGTCAGGCAGTAAGGCAGGCCCTTGCACGTCTATATAAATGCATGCAGGTCGGGCCAATGGACCTGGGCAGTTCGGACTTTAAAGCTCATGCAGACGTTGCCGGCTGCACCGAATGCAGGAGCCCCTGATGATGCTCCCGGGCTGCTTTTTTGGTAGGGCTCATGCGACCTGGCCACGTGATGACAAGGTGTACACCTTCAGTTCTGCAATGAACGCTTGTGAGAGCAGATCTTGCTGGACACAAGCTGCCTTCCTCCTGTCCGAGATGAGACTTGCAGCGATTGAGCCGAACGTCGTCACATGCGCTTGCTCATCCTCTGTGACCTGGAATGAGCATTTTCGTGCAGATGAGCAGTCTTACTGATACCCGGCCCCTCCGAAAAGATCCAAGAGTGGACCGAGTTTACGATAAACGGTGACAGGTCAAGCGTCTCATAGACGGGTCTGACAGAAATCCGGTAACCTACGTGGGCTGACACGTGACAGTGCAGTCACAATGTCCACGGCCGAGGCTTGTGAAAAGGCAACTGAGTGGCAATCGGTGCTTGTGTTGCTGTCGACAATTGCTACGATCCAGGCGCACATAATGTAGGCCTGTGCTGTGGTTGCTCAGGTTACAAGTTCAGAACATGCTTATCACTTGTCCGCACAGGTGCGCAAGGACGTGATATGCGTCAACAGCGCGATTAGTGCATGCGAGCAATGAGCCCAGCTTTTGTCCATAGGCGTCGCCAACTTTGTCTGGCAGGCGAGCTTCCATTGTTACCAAGGAAGGTTGGCAAATGGCAGTCGGCACTGTGCCTGCTGACACACATGGAAGAGGAGCCACTGAAGTGTAGATCGATGCAAAAACTCGCCACACATCTACCCCGCCAAGCTGGCAGTAGAGGAACGCCTCCTCGCCACACTCGTCGGGTTTAATGCAGCGATCAGTGCATGTGACAAGGTTGGTCCGCCTGAGTGAAACGGCTTACTGCTCGTTGTGAGCAGTGTGCGGCATGCATCTCACTAAGGCTGGATTCTGGCAAGGGGCACTTCAGCTTTTGGCAGCGATGCCACTGGCACAGTTCAAGCCGGATACGATTAGCTTCTTTTCTTGCACCTGGTGCACACAATCCCTCTTCGATCGGAGCCGACCTTTCGGAAGAACATGTTTTAAGCTGCCAAGCCGTTTGGAAGCATCACTCTGCAAGAGTGTTGGCAAGACAAAGGCTACAATGCAGCTATCAGCGCATGTGCGGGCAGCGGTGAATGGCAGCATGCGCTGCACATATTGGAGCAGCTGAAGACATCAGAGCATGCCGCAGATGCCGCAGACCCAGGGTTCTGATTCTGATCAAACAGACACTCGCATCTAAAGCTAGACATGCACGGCAAGCCAGGTCATCAGTTACAGTGGTGCTATTTCTGCACTGGACAGTCACTCGGCCAGGGCTGGTGCCAAGACGTTCTGCACTCGCGTCCCCGACAGTGCTGTGAATGCTCTGACCTGCTACCAGGCAGCAGATGGCAGCTGGCATTACTTCTTTTCTACGACATGACGACAGCCCGAGTCTCCCCAGACCTGATCGGCTTCAGCTGTGCCATCAGCGCATGTGAGCGAGGCGAAGCTGGGACTGCGCATGTTTTACATAATCACGGACTGCATTGCTTTCTTAGCAAAGAGTCGCGTCGTACCCGAACATCGACGTGTAGTTGGCGATGCGGCGATAAGATGGGTATCATGACAATACAACCCTCATCCATCAGAGAATAGGCAGGGTAAGTTCTTGGCGAAACTGCAGCACGTAACAGGACCTAAGCCTAAGCGGAGCCCTCAAGCAAAAATGGGAAGAATTGGGGTCCAGTTGCTGTACTTCGGAAGGGGCATCATGATTAGTGCATGGGAGTTTCAACCTGCCACAACAAAAGCTGCAGGTGAATTGTTGAGGCATTTTGGCAGCGAGCACGTGCCCGGCATCCGAGATCATCTCAATACAACCGGCCAGCAGGAATCCGCATGTCTAAACCGCGGAACGCCTTGGCATATCTCGGACTTGACCCCCTGCAGTCCATAACAACAGACAAGAAGAAGTAAGCCCACTTGCCACGGAATGATGCAAGCCGGCGACACACTCTGTAACTGTGAGGGTTTGAAGGATCCTTGCGGCAGAGGCACGCACGAATGAAGCACATCGCTGAAACAGGAGGAACCCGTTTTCAACGCGTTTGCGAGGTATTTGCGCTCGTTGAGAAATGCTCTCCCGCAAGGCTAGGGCGGCTAGGGATGCCAGAGACACGGGCAGAACCCCGCCCAGGCCGTTCTGCCTCGCCACGGTCAACGTATGTCCGGCATAGAAAGCGGGACAGTCCCGGCTATCTCCACGGAGACCTACGAAACTGACAGCTTTCGGGCTCAGGATTCCATGGTAATCCTTGGCGACCGAACAATATGTGAGAAGTCCTCGTGCTATCCTAGAAATACTTGGCCAATGGAAATCATTAACGTGACGGCGAGGGAGAGGGAGAGGGAGACGATGGATTATGACGAGGAGAACGCTGAGGAGGAAAAGGAGGACCGCGGAAGCAGCAATGGCAGCGGCAGCGGCAGCAACAGCAACAACAGCAGCTGCAACAACAACAACAACACCACTAACAATACAACTGAAGCATCGAATCGCTTGCTTTATGGTCAGCTCTTTTCCGAGAGTTCCGGTTTGGAATTCATGTATTGAATGCCAGCTCGCCCGCTTAGAGTACCATGTGCGACCGTCGTTCCAGTAAAACCTCGCCGGCTTACCACTCCGGAAAAGAAGCAATCTTTCCGAAACACACCTTCCTGACAAGTAGTGGCAATGCAGTGGCCCACCCCTAGTGCGATGTGAACGGCAGACCTAGAGGCTACCACCTCCAACATCGAGCATGTCTCAACCGGTTCATTTGTGTCACGCCCATGAATTGCAGATGCTTGCATTTCTCCTATGCTCCTGGGATCTACAGTAGGCCTTGTTCCATGCGGATCGGAGCTAGATTATAATTGTTTGAAGTAGTTTATCCTTGGGTTTGGTTTGGTGCACGCATCTTTGGCTGAGCTCGTGTTGTAAATATTGCTCTGTTGAACATCGGGGAGTTTTACCGCAGTTCATGCAGGCCAAAGTGGCAACGGCCGGACCATACCCACGACAAGTGAAATATGTTGGGTTTATAACACACGGAGTCACACGAAGAAGGACGTGTGACCAAGTTCTAGGCTGCTCTAAGCTGCAGGTGCGGCTTGGAGGGATGCCTTCGTCCTCGTCCGGTCAATGCCGAGCCGCGGGCTGCAGCCGAATCTGCCCTGCTTCAGTGCCTTCGCCCTGACAAGGCTGCTACTTTCGGACCGTCGACCATGTCATGCACGGATGCAAGTTAAGGCAGTGCAATCAGTGCTTCCAGTGCTGTGGCCCAATGGGACAGAGCCTTGACACTGCTCTGCAATCTTGAAGACCCCAATGCCACGGATCTGTTCTGTAGCAATTCTGCAATTCTGGCATGTGGGCGAGTGACTCGACCAGCACACAATTCATTGTTTGTTTGTCCATGTTTCGGTGTTTCAGGGCTTGGGAAGGCATACATGTACTGGTTGCAGCGTCATGTATCGAAGTCTCAGGGCTTGCAGTGGCAGCCGGCTCTACACATATTCGAAACCATGCCGCAGCACGATGCTGGGCTAAATGTCGGGTGGCTCTCAACCTTGCACGCAAGCGAACTACATCTCTTGCGGTTCTTTCTCATTGTCGTTGGCAGAGGATGTCGTCAGCTGCTCCAGCGCCGTTCCGGTGTGCGACTTCGGCATCCAACATCTGCATTTAGCAAAGCTGCTTGAGGAAGGAGATCGCAAAGCCGTGGGCTTCTTCCACGACCTGCACTTTGGGATGTAATGGCCAGGCGGTCAGCCGGTGGCCGCGAGGCGATGTGAGACACATGTCGGTGAGGCCACCAAGTAAAGTGCCACGAGCGGGACGATGTGCCATTCCGTGAACGATGCAAGCGAGAGGCCGAGACTGAGACACGGAAATCGCAATGTCGACAACGTTGTACTGTCTTGCAGAGGACAGTGTCGAGAGGGAGCGGAGCTTGCAGCACGACATCGCATTGTCTCATGGCATGGATGCCTCGACGTGCTGGCACCTCCTGGGGAGTTTGCCACCCCGCGCCGATGACAAAGCTGATCTGCGTAGAATAGAGTTCACGCGGAAGGGGCGATATCATTTTGAGCGACGAAAGGCCTCGCACTGTTGCAAAAACCCTCAGACGCTGTGTGCATCAAGCTGGTTTGCAGTCATGCCTCAAGACACCTTGTGACAGACGTTCGGGGCCTCATATCGAGTCGACGCGAGGTCGAGATTCACATTCTGCACTTCGTGCAGAATTCCACCTCACGTCTTGATGAGGACTCCCAGGCTTTGTTCATGGACCCTTTCGTTGACATTGCTCGGGTGTTGTTTCCTGCTGCTGGCACGGTCGTGTAGAAAGCGGTGTTTTGTGTTGGATCAGGACACGGAGCTGCGCATGCGTGTCCGTTTGAAGCAGACTTGATCTCAAGTTTGGCTTGTAACTGTATCATTGAGCAAGTTGCTTGTTTCGCATGTATGATCTGCCCTTTTGTCTTTGAATCGTCTAAGGAACAGGCCGTCCGTGCAGAACAAATGAATCCGCGATTCCCGCAAGGTCGCTGGCAGTGCTTTCCATCTGATAATGTGTTTCAGCCATGTTCGACAACAGCGATGTCCGATATTGATAACTCGGCCTTCCCAGATTTTTACAAATAGTTTGAATCACTATCTTGAGAATCTATTGCAAAGATTGGGGATTCGGGCTTGCAAAACAATCTTGTTTCAAGGAGATACGCTGGACTTTCCAATTTGAGCAATTTTGGGTGCGGGGTTTCGCATTTTTCGCGAGTATTAGGCCAAAGTTGAGTCTTTAGGTCATTTATATTCATGGGCTTGGATTACATTCATATCGTTTATAGATATGATTGTATGTATTTATATCCACTTTATAAAACGTAAAGTCCTAATGGACCTTAATTGCCCACCTACACTCGGATCAGCACATTTCTTTCACGGAGAATTTATAAGTGGGGGCGGCTTTGCGATTTGCCCTCCTACTCGTAAGGCCTTACATACACTACGATGTCCTTGATGCGGAATTCTGCTTCTTTGGCGCGCTGGGTTAGAGGGTCGTGTGCTGCTGTAGCTCAGGTGACGGATAGTCTAGTAACTCGGCAGCCGTGAGAGAGAGTTGTCACATGGGTTCTTTGATATTTGTTTGTGAGCTCCCGGAGCTTTGGGCCTTGTCTGTGTTGCTATGGTTTATTCTGATCGTATCGGATCTTCTCCAAGGGGATGCTAGCGCGGTGATTCGGATTGTGTGGAGCTCTGCCTGCCGTTTGCGAGTCTTGAGAGTCAAAACTTATTGAAAATTTCGGGGGCTGGGAGCGGTAAAAAAATGGCCTGGGCGGTGCTACACCTGGAAATTTCCGGTAAACTTAAGGCTCACCTCGTTCGGGTCTTATCTTTTTGGCAGAAAAATCATGCGTGTGTTTGTAATATTCCTATTCTTGATTTTCGTCTAGATTTTGACTGGCTTTAGACTAGAACTTTAGCGTCTTTACCTCTAATTATATATATACATTATATGCACACACACATACATATATATATATAGAGAGAGAATAACTTTTGAAGAACTATACATACACACACACATATATATATATGCTACCCCCCCCCCTCAGTTATCTACCTTTTTCGTGGCTTTCCAGGGTACGTGGGGGAAGCATGTTCCCAAAATTCGGGGTCATGTTCCGTTTTTAATGCGAACCCGTGTTGATCGGATCTGGCAGCGTGCTGCGCGGATCGTCTTTATATAGGCCCCGCGAATAATATAATTAATGTAATGAGCCTAAGGCTTCTACCAGGCTAGCTGTAGGATCGCTATTCTCCTAACCAATAAGGTTTAGAGAAGAGGGTTACATGTAAGTTAAATTGTCTGGTCAAAATTAGGCTTCCGGTTAATGCTTAGGGGTTAGGATGACCATTTATAATATTCCTGTGGTTCCGTCTTAGGGTTGATATTTCGGGCAGTTGTTTTGTGAAAAAGAGGTATCGAGGGTAACATTAGAGTCGCCAGTACGACACTACTAGGACCAAGGCCCGTCCTTAGTGGGAAAATTGATACTATTCGGGATGAAGAATCACTTTAATTTCACTTTGGTTCTTAAGATTCCAATTGAAGCTTGATCTCTAGTCTGCATCTAAATATTAGACTTGCCGTTGGGGCCAACCCGGGGGGCGATGCTGAGCTTGGGGAATAAGCGTAGGCTGTAGTGAACAATGCTGTCACGGTATACGTGGGTATGAGTGGTGAATACTGCTATGACGACTAAGATGAGTACTAGAAAATGCTCATGTTAGGTCGGCTGGCAGTACTTCAGGGTTGAAATAGCTTTCATGAGGCCAATGTGAGGGTTGTCACTTAGGCCACTATACTACTTATAATACCAAGCTGAATCGTTTATAGTAGAAGAGACGTTGGGATTACTGTTGGAATTCATTGCTTAGCCAGATATGAAGTTTCCCAACAAGGCTTCGATATCCATATTGCTGTTGCGAAGATTATTGCTTCTACCAAATAGGAGTTATGTTGCGGGCCAGCAGCACTATTTATCTTCAGCCATTTCCCATAGATTTTAGTGAGCAATATACGGAAACCAACACTGCATGCTACAGCATCGTGGTTTTGATTTGCATGCAGCTCTAAAAAGATGGGCTAGCACTCCGACACTCATGGTAGGGTGAATATAAAAAGCCCTGTCATTCTTTGGTCTATTATTACTAGGAATAATATTGGATCTAATGGACATCAGTGAGCAAGCCACGGTAATCAACGCTATTTTTGTTTATCGTGGATTTGATTTGCATGCAACGCTGGAAGGGGCCATGCTTAATATGGGCAGGGCAAGTGAATTGGAGATCAGTCCGAAGTATTGAACTTCAATC